TTTTTACAATTACTCTAGGTTGTTGCATGTAGGTCATTCTCCCCACTAAACAAAATTACAAAACCCCTAATTTATTTTTTGTTGTCAGTGGTCATTTGAGTGGTTAAAAACAGAGCTGCCATGAGCACTCTTGAGGTACACAGGTCCAAGAATTTCTCTAAGGCATTTATGTACACGTAGACTGGTTAGGGTATGTGAATGCTTAACGCTAAAAGAGTGTGCCAAATTGCTTTCTGAGGAGCCTATCAGTTCAAAATCCTACCTGCAGCGTGAAAAATGGAGGCCCATCATCTTTATTGGTATTGTCATATCCTTTAATTTTTCAATCTATTGAATGCAAAATATTATTCATTATAGTTTTAATTAGCCAATCACTTAAGAGGTAAAACATCTTTTCATGTGTTCGGCCACATCCTCTGAAAATACTTAGTTTGTCTTTTGCTTATTTTTCTATAGGACAGTGATAAATAGAAGTGGTGGTCGGGTGCAGTGGCTCACGCCTGTAATCCCAGCACTTTAGGAGGCCGAGGCAGGTGGATTACCTCAGGTCAGGAGTTCAAGACCAGCCTGGACAACTTGGTAAAACCCTGTCTCTACTAAAAATATAAAAATTAGCCAAGTGTGGGAGCAGACACCTGTAATCCCAGCTACTTGGGAGGCTGAGGCAAGAGAATCGCTTGAACCCGGGAGGTGGAGATTGCAGTGAGCCAAGATCACGCAACTGCACTCCAGCCTGGGCGACAGAGCGAGACTCCATCTAAAAAAAAAAAAAAAAAAAAAATAGCACAAGAAGTGGTGATAATAGCCACCCTTATGTTCCTGATTTTCAAAGTATACAACTTGGTCATGATGCAGTTTTAGTATGTCAACGTTTATTAATAGTGCTTTTGACTTTACAAGTATAAGTGCTATTAGCCTGTAATTTTCTTTTCTCCTACTGAATGTCTCTGATTTTAGTATCAGTAAGTTATATCAACCTCACACAATATGCTGGCAAGTATTCCCTCATTAGCTATTTTTGTCTGAAAGAGCTTGTATAAAATGTTGGAATTTTACCCCCCTTGAAAGAGGGGTAAAACTTACCTGTAAACCTGTGCCAGGTCTTGTCGAAAAGTTAATTATTGTTTACTATTCAACCTATGAATAAGTATATTCAGCTTTTCTATTTCTTCTTGAGCCAATTTAAGTAAATTGCAATTTTCTGGAGTTTGGTCTATTTTGTCTAAGTTTTCAAATACATTAGCATTAAGATGTTCCTGGTAGTCACTTTTTCATCCCTGCTTTATCAATGGATTCAGACCGCTTTTTCAATCTTTACGTTGTTTGTGTTCCATTTCATCTTGTTCAATTATGCCAGTTTTACTGTTTTGTCACGAAAACAACTTTGACATGTAATTCTTCATCATTTTCTAATTCATTGATTTATTCCCTTGCCTGTATCTTCTTGCTTCTACATTGCTTTTGCTATTTTCTAAGTTACACATCTAGTCTTTTCCCTTAAGCATTTAAAGCCACTTCCCTCAAAGTGCTGTTTTAGCTGTAATATCCAATTAAAAAAATATATATATATTACTTGTAACTAGGTTTCAAGTATTTCCTTTTTTCCTTTGTGACGATTTAAACATGTAAATGTAAGACTTTAAAAAATTTAACCTTTATTACTGACCTCCACTTGCTTCTGATTATCCATTTAATACCAATTATTTGATGTTTCGTAACTTGCTTACGCCTAAAATACATGGTTAATTTTTGTTAATATACAATGCTTAAGAAAAATATTCTCTGTTTAATACATTGTTCTAAATGTTTATTGACTCAATATTAAGAAGGCTTTCCCTAATTCTTTATCATTAATTAGTTGTTGAAATCTCCCATTGTTGTCCAATTTGTTGCTTCAGCCCTATTGTTGCTTCAGTTCATACATTTTGAGGCCATTTCATATGGTAAAGGCACACTGAAAATTGTTATATATACCTAGTAAATTGATCCTTTAACTATTTTTAATGGACTTCTCAATCTTTAATGTCATAAATCTAATTATTTTAATATCACTAAAGCTACACGAGTTTTTAGTATTTACCTACTTCGTTTTTTAAAAATATTTACTTTCAACCTCCTCATGTCTAATATTTTAGGTGTTTTAAAAAGCCTAGTTGGGTTTTTTAAAAAATCTGACCAATGCTATCATTTAATCGGGTAATTGTCTATTCATAATTAATATTAGACTTGTTATTATTATCTTACTTTCTAACTTCACTCCCCCACCTCCATTATTTCTTCCTTTATTTGTACTAGGTTATTGCATACCTATTCTGTATTTTAAAGTTCTTTTCCTTTGGAATGATTCATCCCCTATCTTTTTTTTTTTTTTTTCCTTTGAGATGGGGTCTCACTCTGTCACCCACACTGGAGTGCAGTGGCATGATCTCGGCTCACTGCAACTGTCACCTCCCCGGTTCAAGTGATTCTCGCACCTCACCCTCCAGAGTAGCTGGGATTACAGGCACTTGCCATCACGCCCGGCTACTTTTTGTGTATTTTGGTAGAACGGGGTTTCACCATGTTGGCCAGGCTGGTCTCAAACTCCTGACCCCAAGTGATCTGCCCGCCTCAGTCTCCCAAAATGCTGATTATAGGTGTGAGCCACAGTGCCTGGCCAATCCCCTATCTATTCTTGTGGCAGTTACCCCTGAACTCTGATTACATATATTTATTATAACATAGTCAATTTTAAGGTTAAACAGTATCTTAACCAGTTTTCTGAATAAAAAACCTCAGAACACTCTAATTCCAATCACCCTTCTGCCAGCCAACCGCTATTATCCAGTTTTTCAATTATATCCTTACTTAAAAATTCCACATTATTGTTGCATAACGTTTATTTAGTTTTACATTTGTTTACAATTTCTTATAAACACTTTTCATTATAATTGTTTTATCCAAACAGTTTAAATTTACTTATGCTAGTTTTTCAATTTCAGATCATCCTTTTAGAATCATTTTCCTTCTTGAAGATCATCCTTTTGTAGTCTCTTTACTGAAGTTCTGCTGAGGATAACATCTGTTTTTCATCTCAGCCTGTGTTTGTTTCAGTTTCACTTGTTGCAAATTCTAAGCTAACAGTTTTTCTCAGAAGTCTACCCTCTTTTGGGTACATCGTTGCTGTTAGGAAGCCTACTAAGTATTTGACTGTCTTGCCTTCACTGATGATGATCTTTTTCTCCCCATGGTTGCTTTTAAAATTTTCTCTTTGGTATCTTATCATTTACAATACCTTGAGTCTAGGCCTGGATTTTATTTAAATATATGTTTGGTATATATTGTGCTTTCTGAAGCTATGAATTCATGTTTTTCCAACAAGTTTGGAAAATCGTGTTATCTTTTCAAGTATGCCTCTCCTTCATTCTCTAAATTCTCTCCTTCTAGTACTCCTAGTCTTTATAATTCTTCCCTCCAAATCTCTTAACTTTCTAATGTTTTCTAGCTCCTTCTTTCTGCTCGCTGCTCACTGGGTAATTTTAGATCCAGCTTATAGTTCACTTGTCTCTTCAGCTGAGTCTAATAAAATATTCACCATGTCTGAGGGCTTTTTTCTTATTTCAATAAATATTTCTCATTTCTAGGAATTCTATTTGTTTCTTTTTCAGATCTGCCTGTGGTTCCAACTTCATTTCTTATGTTGGTGATGAAACCTTGAATAACTGAGTTCAATGTTTATTTTTTCTACAGCTTCCTTGTCATGTTAGTTTGTTTCAACTTGTGCCTGTGATCTCTAGTCATAATATACTACTACTTGATAACAATCTATAGGAATCTTGGAACTAAATTAGGAATGTTTCCCTCTTGCCTCTGCCAGGAGCTACAGCACTACAAACTGAGGGCCACTGAACCTTCTTTAACTGTCCTCTCTAGGGCAGCATCTCAGGTTCAGATGTCTTCTTGTTTCTGATTTGAGGCAAACTGAATATGGCAGTGTTGCTATTGGTATCTGCCATCCAGACAAGCATAGTCCACTTGTATGGTCAATACAGTATTCATGACTCCTAACTTAAAATGCATCCATTTCTTGTGGCAGAGGAAAGGTAGAAGTATAGAAGTATGGTTCTTGAAAGTTCTCCTACTTCCCGTGAACCTATTCAAAAGCAGATTTTATTCAGGATCTAGTTGTTTCACAATACCTAGTCTAACATACCTGCTGGAAGCAAAGTCTTATTTTGTATATTAAGTATATTAAAACAGTTATATAGTAACCTGAGAAAGCACATATTTTATGTCATTTCTTACTAATGGGACCTCTCTGGAAAGGTTCCCTACCCCTTGATCAGAACAAAACACACAGTATATAGGAACTGAGTGCACGTTAGAAAACTCCTAGAAGATGAGCTTATCGTAAGGTTGTTGTTTCACTTGGTAGAAATTTCTCCTAGTGCTCTATTACTAAGACGTTGCATCAACACTGACTGTTCAAATTACTATTTTTTTTTTTTTTACTTTTTAAATTTACTTATTTATTTTAGAGACAAGGTCTCATTTTGTCACCCAGGCTGGAGTACAGTAGTGCAATCATAGCTCGCTGTGGCCTCAAACTCCTGGGCTCAAGTGATCTTCCCACTTCAGCCTCCAAGTAGTTGCAAGTAGTTGGGACTAAAGCTGCATGCCACCATGTCCAGCTAATTTTTTTTTTTTCCAGTAGAGACAGAATCTCATTATGTCATCCGGGCTGGTCTCCAACTCCCTCCTAGCCCCAGGTGATCCTCCTGCCTCAGCCTCCCAAAGCATTGAGATTATAGGTGTGAGCCACCATGCCTCTGTTCAACTTTTTAATGTCCTGATTAATATGTGATTCAGATTAGTAAGACTAAAATCTATGATCATATTCCATCATTTTGAACCTTTTAAAAAATATATAATAATGATTTGTTACATGCAGCTTCCATCTAGATGCATAACTTTATTTCTGGAAATGTGGGCCACCTACAATGTAAAGCAGACTAAACAAGGCAGCTTGTGATTTCATTTTAATCAGAAACACACCAAATAGGCATCATGGCAGCAGATCTGGCTGCTACTGTTTTAAATACAGATGGATTAACATCTTTATTATTCATAATTATCTGTCAATGTTCTCTGGATGATCAAGAAACTCTTTGTGCCTCACCCTAATCACTGAAGTAATGAAAGGAGATACCAGCAGCAAGGACTGCAACTGTAAATGCTGCAATCACACCTAAAAGTAAAACAAACACAGAACAAATGAAAATGGAATGAGCAAAAGAAAGGCCAAACTAATCCTAGGCTCTGAAATGTGGGTAACTGATGGGCCTAAAAAACAACAATACACAAACACACAAACACACAATCTTACATACACATACATATGTATATACTAAAAGGCAGCAACATCTTAGAGAAAAATATAGTCATAAGTTGAAAAACTAGACTTCGAATGTTGGACGAAGTATCTTTCTTGCACAAATGTGCACTGAGACGTATCTAAGAGAAAAAAATGACAAACACTTTAAAGGGCTTATATAAATATTTTTATTGGCATACCAGCTGTCTTATGCTACTTAGGTTAAAAAAAAAAGGCAGTTCCAGTAGGCAGCAGTTCTCAAGCATTATAACGTAAAGCCACTTGTGTAACTTGTGTAGCTACTGAAAACTGCAGAAGTCCATGTTCAACCATTATAAAATCTAAGAATTAATATGTCTAAGTAGTAACTTTTATTTTTTCCTGATTATAGTAAGCTAAAGAAAGAAACTGGCCACAGTAGTCCAGACAGACACACACACACACGTACAAAAAAATTAATTAAATTTATCTAATGAATGACAAGAACTACAATTAAATCTTCTGACTCCTAACTCTCAGTCAGAAGTCTTAATACTTAGTATTTCTCAAATTGTTACCCCATTAAACAATAGTCTGCATGTTCCTTGTTCAAAAAGTCTGAAAATGTTAAAATAATTCTGCATTTCTTAGAGCCTTTAAAATATAAAAATACATTATAAAATTCCTGACTTGAATTTGACATTTTTTGTCATAGAACACACATCAAAATCTCCTGTGATAGTAATTCTAGGAATACCAGTTTGTAAAACATTAGCCCTACTATACTAACTGATTCCCAAAACTCTGCATTTTTTTCTTTTAAGAATGTTTTAAAAATTAATAGGATGTGTCATCTTTGAGGGCACTTGGATGACAATGTATGAATTATAAATCTTTCTATCTCTAGGGCCTGGCACTTTCCATAATACCCAATAAATACTGTTAAGTCTAGCAATCTTAAGAAAGTGAAATGAAATACAAAAATTTTAAAGTAACAAGAAAACTCAAATCTAAATATGTTTTCAGTGTTATCAAAGAAGTAAAATTAAATACCTATGTTTTGCTGAATTTTCAGTAACATTGTAGTTTTAATTGGTTGTTTTGGTTGTTCATCATCTGTGTTGTCCAATGAAGCTTGACTATTCATAGAGGAACTCATACAAGCTGAAAGAGTATAATAATAATAAATTTCACATAAAATAAGGATTAACACATGAAACTGAGTTTTAAAGAACATTATAAAAACCGTACAATCAACACCATTTTCATTCTACTTGTTTTTTATATAATAATGAATTTGCTCATTATCAATTGTAGGTGAATTAAATTTAATAGAATATATGTCAAATTGACAGTTTTCAAAACAATGTAGCTTTATCATTGAACTAAATCAGAGGGCCACACAGCCAGTTCTGAATGACTTTCAAAAATTGTAATTTGTTGGTCAGGCGTGGTGGCTGACGCGTGTAATCCCAGCACTTTGGGAGGCTGAGGCAGGCAGAATGCCTGAGCTCAGGAGTTCAAGACCAGCCTGGGCAACATGGTGAAACCCTGTCTCTACTAAAATACAAAACATTAGCCGGGCGTGGTGGCATGCACCTGCAGTCCCAGTTACTTGGGAGGCTGGGGCAGGAGAACTGCTTGAACCTGGGAGATGGAGGTTGCAGCGAGCCGAGGTCATGCCACTGCACTCCAGCCTGGGTGAAAGAGTGAGACTCTGTCTCAAAAAATAATAATAATAATTTGTTTACTATATAGTAGTAAATTTATACCAAAATTCATAGCAGAGTAAACTTCACTCCTGAGATTTACTTTTTTTTTTTTGAGACAGAGTCCTACTCTGTCACCGAGGCTGGAATGCAGTGGCATCATCTCAGCTCACTGCAACCTCCGCCTCCCAGGTTCAAGTGATTCTCTTGCCTCAACCTCCTGAGTAGCTGGGATTACAGCTGCCTGCCACCACACCCGGCTAATCTTTGCATTTTAATTTATTTTATTTATTTGAGACAGAGTCTTGCTCTGTCGCCTAAGCTGTAGTGCAATGGCATGATCTCAGCTCACTGCAACCTCCACCTCCCAGGTTCAAGCAATTCTCCCGCCTCAGCCTCCTGAGTAGCTGGGACTACAGGGGTGCGCCACTACGCCCCACTAACTTTTGCATTTTTAGTAAGACGGGGTTTTGCCATGTTGGTCTGGCTGGTCCCCAACTCCTGACCTCAGGTAACGAGCCCACTTTGGCCTCCCAAAATGCTGGGATTACAGCCATGAGCCACCACGCCCGGCCTAGTTTTTGTATTTTTAGTAGAGACAGGATTTCACCACGTTGGCCAGGCTGGTCTCCAACTCCTGACCACAAGGGATCTGCCGCCTCAACCTCCCAAAGTGCTGGGATCACACAGTGGGTGGGAGCCACCGTGCCGAGCCTAATTTATATAATTATTGGTGGTTTTAGCAATTAATACTTTCAAATAATTAGATATTAATAATAAAACCAGTGACTAGCACATTGCAGTACATGGGCCTCTGGCTCATGACCTATTTTTGTAAAAGCTTTTAAACTAAAAATCTATTTTTTATATTTTTAAAACACTGTAAAAAAAGAAAAGAATATGTGAAAAAGACCTTATGTGGCTCACAAAGCCTAAAATATTTATTTGCACAAAAAAATCTGCTGACTCTTGATCCAACTTGAAATTTAAACTATGATAAAAATTTTGACCTTAAAACAACTCTGAATGGTAAGCAAGGCAAGGACATCATCACATTTTACAAATGGAAAACATAACCTGGAAGGTTAAAGTGCGTATTTGACCATCACAGGCATTTGACTGATTTGTACACAAGTTCTCTTTCTACTTCATTATGCTGACAGCAATTTATGTAGGTTAGCCTATCTGAATTTATTTAATGCTCAATGAAAGTGTGTGAACTGACAGCATCCTCAGAGACCACACAGGCTAATAGTTTTCAATTTTTTTCCCCTAGGACTGAAGAATCCTACGAAAACAAAGAAAATCTGACAGAAATTCCCAGCGTGTAAAAAAGATGAAAGTATGCTAGCCAGGCTGAAGCTGGGAGGGAGGACTCCTGGAGTCAGACCAGCTCCTTACTTCTATCCTAGAGGTGACAGAAGAATGCTACTCTATAGAACTCTAGGGAACTAGGTTATGAAAGCAACTACTTTAGATTGATCTGTTTATTTACGCTCACCACTCTCCAAAAAAGAGAGAGAGAACTCAAGAGAGATAGTAAATATTATTGTTTAAATTTAAAGTAAAATAGCTTATTGTTGAATTTACAATGTTCTTACAGACATCTTTGCACCCCAATATACTAGCACAAGTTCAAATGAATGACATATAAACTTACTGAAATAGGTATCTATGATACCAAAATGGATGAAAAAGAAAAAAAAAATTACCTACTTGTCATTAATTTCTCATAAAGTTTGATTTTCATAAATAATTCCTAGTAACTATCTTATTAGAATCAAGGACGCCACCATTCTTTTTTTTCTTCTTCAAGTATACAACTAAAATACTTTAAAAACAAAAAACAAAAACACCCTCCCCGCCTTTTTCTTTCTATTCTCACATGAAACCAGTCACAAAGAACAACAAATTCTTATGAACTGTCTCTAGGAATATCTAGTTTTCTATATTTCCAATTTCTAGGTTTCTCAAGGGCTATAATACCTCGGTTCCAGACTATATTAGCCTAGTAATTTAAAATTTCTTCCAACTTCAGTCCATAGGTCTAAAAGTTGAATGGCTAATACAATTTTACGTTAAATAAAAACAAAAACAACATTTGGCTCTATGAGCAAATATCTCTGTTAAAAAGGTATTTTTTGGCTGGGCACGGTGGCTCACACTTGTAAATCCCAGCACTTCGGGAGGCCAAGGTGGGCGGGTCACGAGGTCAGAAGATTGAGACCATCCTAGCTAACATGGTGAAACCCCATCTCTACTAAAAATACAAAAAAAATTAGCCGGGTGTGGTAGCAGGTACCTGTAGTCCCAGCTACTCAGGAGGCTGATGCAGGAGAATGGCGTGAACTCAGGAGGCGGAGCTTGCAGTGAGCCAAGATAGTGCCAGTGCACTCCAGCCTGGGCTCCGTCTCAAAAAAAAAAAAAAGGTTTATTTTTTATTCCCCCATATTTGGGCCAATAAAATCCTTATATCAGATAACAAACAAAAATAATGGATGGTGTGAATTATACCTATTTGCTATAGCAACTTTATTACTTGAATACTTGCATACAAAAAAAATTGTTTTAGTTGTCATATTACTTATATATTTTACATTGAATATTACATATGAAGATCAGGCTCTAGAAGATCGTACTCTGCACAAATAATTTACTTTTATAAAAGGCATTCCATTGCCCTGCTATTTCCATTTTTAAATCTGTCATATAAAATCATGTGGTTTGACACAAATTTGAGATGATTTTACTGAAGCAGAATGTTTTTCAATAATGAAAATAGCAATTTATTTGTTTATTTTTGGTGGAGGCTTGTAGGATTTTTAAATCAAATCTTAGGCACTGTGTTATTTCACCAATATTTTAATATATTACATGAAATTTAAATACAAATAACACAGTGATTCAATACAACATTAGATCTCAACCATTCCTTAAAACCAAGTAATTTTAAATTCAGACAAATCGAAAATTGATCATTATTGTTAAGAAAGTATTCTTCTTGAGCAGCTGTCAAAAAGATAGACAAAACAAGGGCTGTGAATGCATGCAAAAGTTGCAGACATGTTCAGATTTCATTCCAAGCTGCTGATAGGTAAGAAGGACTATTTAAAAGCTTAAAATGAAATGTTAAGACTTGAACTCCTTCGTTGGCTGTGTTCTTCCTATCCCTAAATCCTAAATTACTGATGTATAATTATAGTCAGCGATGTAGCCATAAAATTGTATCTTCAGTATTACTCATTTTTCTTTTATAATTGTCAATGTTTAACCAAATGACAAAAATTAATTTCAGCTCTGATATTGGCAAAGAAGAGGTTCACCAGATTTTAAAGGTGTGACTTCAAAATTTTTTAGATGGTACTGTTGATAAAAGTACATTGAAATTATTAAGTTAATGTCAACTAGGAAATGACTAACACAGCTAAGAAATTTTAAAGCCAGTTATCCCTCACCTCAAGTGAGTCATTTTGACAAACAAATTGTTCCTCATCTCTTAAGTCATTTAAAAGTATGTTATTTTAAGATACTTACTTGGCAAATATGTATTTTAAACATAGCAACCATTTGGTAACCATACTATAGAACAGAAATAAGTAATAATCAGGTAAATAATATAAGTTGAGCATCCCTTACCTGAAATGATTTTCTTTTTTTCAAATTTTGGATTATTTGCATTATATTTACTGGTTGAGCATCCCTAATCTGAAATCCAAAACCCAAAATGTTCTAATGAGCATATTTCCTTTGAGTATCATGTTGGTGCTCAAAAAGTTTCTAATTTTGGAGCATTTTGTGTTTCAGACTTTCAGATCAGGGATACTCAACCTGTAATGTTAAATACTTAGAAGATAAAGCAAAATGTTTATAGCAAATTTAACGTTCCTAAATGTGTAGTAATTGATTCCAATTTCTGAATTTGAACATTTGAGCTCCACTTTTTTGTGGTTTATTTTATATGGAAACTCTAATTTCAAATATTTAGGAAAACTTACACATATTATAAAACATTTTCATACTTTAACATTAATATTTTTCATTACAAGTCAGAGGTTCAGTATTTAAAAGCCTAATAATGTGTTAATATCATCTCTGTTTAGAAAGTATTTTCCCTAACAGTTTTACCAAATTCTCACAGCAACCCCAAGAGAATCTAGGACTCAGAGGGGACTTCTTTAAGGTTAGTTCTAAGTGGCAGGCCTGGATTCCTGGACATTATCTTCGTAAAATTGTGGCATCTAATATCTTTGAGTAAATGAATAAATGAGTAAATGAGTGAATAAGTGCGTATAATTCTTAAAAAAAAATAGGATGTTTATGTAAAGGCACTTAATTTTTCTATTAAAATGTATGTTTTTATTCTATTGTTTGAGAATGTGTTCTTTATAATAAATATGCATAATTACTAAATCATTCCTTCCAATTTAACAAATGCTTGATGAAGCAAAACTAATATACTTCTAGGTAAGTCATATTCTTGGTTGTAATATATCTCATACCAGTGTTCAATTCCTAAAAAGCTACTTTTACTTGTATTCATCCTTCAAAATGAACTCAAATGTCACCTGCTCTAAGAAGCTTTCCCTGAGTCCCTTACAGAGATAGTGCCTCTGCTAAGAGTTCTGACGCTTCTCTGTTCATTCTTGTTATAGAGTTATTAGTGGTTTTAGCAATTAATAATTTCAAATAATTAGATATTAATAATAAAGCCACAGATCAGCACATTATAGCACATGGGCCACTTTGTTTTGGAATAACTCATTTCTTTGTATTTTCCATTGCACTGTGGGCTTCTTGAGAGTCAGGACTATATATTTTATCTGTAGAATCCTAATACATAATAGGCAACCAAGAATAGATATCACTCACTCACTCACTCACTCACTCACTCGAGATTCATGTAAGTTTCAAAAACAGGGCAGAGTCCTGAAAGGATCATAGCTACCATACTGAAATATCTTCAATACGTTATACAATATTAGAAAAATGTGTAATATCATCTAGAAACCATGAGTTTAATATGGCATACATGTAAGTATACACACCTAAACTTTCCAAATTGCTGTTTTGCTTCCTTTGTTCTTGTAATATTAAACTCTTCCTACTGTTAATCCATCTCTATACTAGACTGTCAGCATAAAAAAGAGAAATATAGACAGTAAATAATTTTTAAATACAGTGTGAAACATATAACTAAGTTTTAATATTAAAGGTTTATGAAAATTAAAATCCATAAATCAGACATATGTATTAATATTTATATATTATCTAAGATTTTAAAGTTATTTTAAGGTATTTCATATTTACTGGTTCATGCGAATATTTAACAAGGTGCAAATAATGCTAATGATAAAGTTTACTGAGGGAACTCAAGAAAGAGGATTAAAATATATTTAGTATATATATAAACAGTTCATTAGAGAATAGCATTTATATCTGACAATAATGGATAAAAAGTGTATTGTTTTGAGGCTAAAATTAAAACTTTTATTTATTTGCAAAAGTAAACATCATTCAAAACTATGAAACTTTCAACACAAGAAGGATTATACACTCTATAGAGCATCAATTTATAAAACTGGTATGTGCTTTCAGTGACCTTTCAGTTGAAGTGAAACATAAAAGTAGTACAGGTTGAGTATTCCTTGTCCAAAATGCTTGGGACCGTGTTTCAGATTTCAGATTTTTTTGAATTCTGAAATATCTGCAGTACACCAATTTAGCATTCCTAATCCAAAAATCCAAAATCTGAAATGCTCTACTGAATATTTCCTTTGAGTATATCGGTGCTCAAAAAGGTTCAAATTTTGGAGCATTTCAGATTTTAGATTTTCAGATTAGGGATACTCAACTGCAATAAAGAATACAAAAAGGGAAATAATTTACTAAATTTTTTTTTTTTTTTTTTGAGGCAGAGTCTTCTTTCTGTCGCCCAGGCTGGACTGCAGTGGCGCGATCTCGGCTCACTGCGAGCTCCGCCTCCCGGGTTCACGCCATTCTCCTGCCTCAGCCTCCCAAGTAGCTGGGTTTACAGGCATGCGCCACCATGCCCGGCTAACTTTGTATTTTTAGTAGAAATGGGGTTTCTCCATGTTGGTCAGGCTGGTCTTGAACTCATGACCTAAGGTGATCCACCCGCCTCAGCCTCCCAAAGTGCTGGGACTACAGGCATGAGCCATCGTGCCTGGTCCACTAAAATTTTAATACAGGAATGCCAAAACTTTGTTACTGTATATTGTAGATTTCTGGTAATGCCTATAATAGAGACTTTTTTCTGAATTACTAACCAAATCACTGGAGACCCTAAAATTCTCATCACTAATCTTGATGGAGTACTTAGGTACTCTTAGGACCTTACTACATTCTCTGCATAACTAATCACGCATATACATTCTATTTTTCCTCTAGGCTTCTAAAGGAAAGCAATCAAGTTATTGATTCATACCTATTATATTGTCTTGAACAGAGCGTAAGCTTAATAAACATCTGATAAATAGACATACTAAATGCTGTAAACTAGATTAAAATTTCTGGGACAACAACTAGTGCTACATATTTTCATATAAAAGACATAATTTCATGTCTTAAATGTTCAATACTCCTGAAAATGTTCTGAACTATACATTCTCAGCCATACATCTATGAATATTATAGCCTTTTTAAACTTTCAACATGTTCAGTATACTATACTACACAAACCTTAAAAACCTTGTCTGTCCAGGCATAAGCTTATAATTTGTCAAGTATAAAATAAATGTGAAAACAAGATGTGCTGTAGTTTCCTAAGAATCATTTATTCAGTATTTATGAATCAGTAACAAATACTTAGGAACACCTACTATGTTTTAGGCACAGATAAATAAATACTCTGCTTACTTTCAAAAATCTTATAGTCTAATGTGAAAGATCAACATTAAATATGCAATTGATGATTTAAATAATTACAAGTATGTAAAGTATTATAGAAGAACAGCATAGAAGAGCGAACTACAAGAAAGTTTAATGAAGGAGTTTACCTAGTTTGAACTAGCCTGAAGTTAGTAAAAACATAGTATCTACACAGACATTTTTTTAAAAACTCTATTGGCTGGGCGTGGTGACTAACACCCGTAATCCCAGCACTTTGGGAGGCTGTGGCGGGTGGATCACGAGGTCAGGAGTTCAAGACCAGCCTGACTAACATGGTGAAACCCCATCTCTACTAACAATGCAAAATTAGCCAGGCTTGGTGGCACACGCCTGTAATCCCAGATACTCAGGAGGCTGAGGTAAGAGAATCGCTTGAGCCTGGGAGGTAGAGGTTTCAGTGAACTGAGAATGCACCTGTGCACTCTAGCCTGCGAGACAGAGCAAGACTCTGACTCAAAAAACAAACAAACAAACAAAAATCTACTTAGCTCCTTGAAGACAGGATCAGCATTTTGTTCTTCTTTGGATCCCAATCCACAGGACTGACAAAATAAATAATTTATTCAGTCAACAAATATCTACTGACAACCTATGACGTGCTAAGGCTAAGCTCTTAGTAAAGTGCTAGAAATATAACAGTAAGCAAGAGAGGCAAAGGCCCTTTTTGCTCTCTCAACAGATGTTTGCTGAAATGCAATGGTTAAATATAATAGTTTCATGAGAATTCAAATTTATTGGGTTTTAGTTTTGGTTTTGGGAGGCTGTCATGCCAGGCTGCCATAGTTACCTCTTAGGAATACATTATAGTAGTCGAAGCTACTTAATTTTTTTTTTTTTTTTTTTTTTTGGAGACAGGGTCTTACTCTGTCATCCAGGCTCGACTGCAGTGGTGTAAACATGGCCCACTGAAACCTCTACAGCTAATTTTTGTATTCTTATTGTAGAGACATGGTTTCACCATGTTGCTCAAGTTAAATTTTTTTAAATGTCTTAGCAATGTAAAGAAAAAATATTAACCTCTGTTATTAACTGTTCGTTAAAATATAACTTAAAAAGAACTGAATAATATAGTGTTAGTCTATATACTTGTGTTTAACATACAACATGAAATTAAATGAGTTAAAAATACTTAAGAAAGAAACATTTTTAAGATTTTAAAAACCTAGATGAAATGACTCTCCCTATTCTTTTATATCTGACTTTCAAAGTAACTTGTGAATGGGGCAAGTTTTGCATAGAGTGCTACCCTTAGTCATTCTTAGTTTAAGAATGTGATATGCACTAAGAATGTGAGAAGTAATTCGAAAAATTATATATAAACGTGATATATATTTATATTTTATATTTTTATAAGAAAATATTTGTATATATTGTTTATATTGTATTTTACAAACATATTCACATACATAAACATATAAACATGTTTATAAATATAACATATTTATAAACATAAAAATGTTTATATTGCACGTTTATATACATGTCTATGTTTATATTATATATAAACATAACATACATTTATATTATATTTTTATAAACATGAGATCCAAGATTCCAGCCAACAAATGAGAAATTATATAGACATAATCTAGATGAAATTAAACCAAGATAATGTAACATCATCCATTTACACTTGAAAATGTTTAAAGGGATGGAATGAAGAACGCCAGGCTAAAATATGCATCTATATCATGGAAAGTAATAGTACTATACTGCATTATTTAGCTCCCACAGAAAGGCAGTAAAACAAAATTTTTAGAAAGAGGCACAGACTCTAAAACCAGACTGCCTAAGTTTAAATTCCAGCTCCACCATTATGAGCGATGTAACTTTGAAAAGTTACCTGGCCTTTCTGAGCCTTAATTCTCTCATCTGGAAAACAGGATTAATAATATTATTTACATCAGAGGGTTGTTATAAGGAATGATAATTTGGTATTTGTAAGACTCTTAAAACTGTGCCTGACAGATATATAAATAATGACTGATATTAGTTTTAGAGCATTAGCTTCATCAGGGTAACATTTTCAAGAAAGGCAAACCAGAGTATATTTAAGAAGTAATTTTTAATTTTTCTTAGTTACCAACTCTTTGAAAGTGATAGACCTTTTCTTCAGAAAAAAAATCATACAATTACTTTCAAGTGGTTTGTCAACCTTCTAAAAGTTCAGCTCTGACACCAAAGGTTTTGGAGCTCACAGGTTAAAAATTCCTAATCTACCGGAAGGCAAACAAGGTGGTAAGAAAAAAATGTGGTCTGGAAACTATAATAAAAAGAACAGCTTAAGGTAGATGAGAATATAGGGCTTTGAAATATTTAGAATATAACAGTTGCTCTCAAATTTAAAAGCATGGTCTCAACGAGGAAGTGGTACTCATGTTCTATTGCTGTGTATTACTGAAAGAATAGGTTACAGGGAGGCAGATTGGTATGTAAAATAAAGAAGAATAGAAAGTGAATAGAACTATATCTGCTAGGGACATAGTTTTCAGTACTAACAGGTGAAATTAGGTCAATTCGAATAATCCTACCAACACTATAAGATCTATTCAACAACAGAATGGCTCAAGAACTATTGCTAGGCATTAACGATAGACAAGTGAACAAAACAAACAAAAATCCCTGTCCTCGTGATTCTAAGTTTCATTGGCAGAGATAATGCAGTCACTAACCAGGGAAAATAGATTTTGGAAAGCAGTAAACATTTTTACCAGTCTACTTTCAAAAAGCCGATACTTTCCGTCTGCTACAGTTATATCTTTAAAATTATTAGTTTTCATGGGATTAGAAAGTAGTTGCTTCTTTATTTTAACACCACGTACTGGGTAATTTAGTATATTTTATTTTCCCCACTGAAACAAGCTTATTGCTTTACATCATGATCTGGCATTGCTGAAACTAAAGGGTAGTTTGCAACTAACTTGAGGCAGTTTACTATAGATTTGAAGTTCCCCAATCAAATACTAACTTGACTCACTATAATCTCAAGCGCACTCTGAATCAAACACCCTATTCCTGAAGGGAGAATTAACTATGCGAAGAGGAATAACTAAGAAATCAGAAAAGGAATTTACATATTTATTTATAGACATGTTTTCATACCCTGAACTCACTAGAAACAAAAAGAAAGTGAAACAAAACAAAACAGTCTTCCAAAGTGTAAATTCAAATGTGAAAGTGATGGCTAGGGGAAAAAAAATGTGTTATCAAACCCAGATAGTACAGCAAATCTATGCTCTAGGAAAGTAATCTAATTTCTGGAACTGTCCGTTTTGGTGTAGTATCCCAATTACATGAAAGGGATATTGAAAAAAGGCAAATAATATGGAGAAAATGTTTAGTAAATTAGTGTTTTAAAACTTTCTGTTCTGACATGGTGCTTACTTACCAAGTCTGACATGTAATTTTACCTACTTAATGTTGAACTTGTTTTATTAAGATTTACTTGCTAAGCTTGAAAAATACCTTAGTATCTTAAATTTTGGTAAAATTTCCCAGGAAATACTCACTCTATGTCTAGACATGTAGAAATTAAACATATATTTTAAAATGTCTCAGTTAATATTTTGAAGTGTCAAACAGAATTAGCTTTAAAAAATCTAAAGACATGCCATTTAAACTAGACATCTCATAGGTAAAATCTTAGCTGTAATCTAATCAGATTATTAAATAGCATCATATAATGACCTGTGTTTATTTCCTCTGCAATTTTCAAATCTTCTATTTGAATTGTATGATCCAACATCTCCATAAAATGGTCCCTGATTTCTTCAGCCGGCTCATCATCAAATTTGTAATCACACAACATTACAGTGGATCCAGGAAGGGGAACAAAGACTCGATAAGGGAGGATGTGGAACTCTTTTTCAGAATCTAAAAGGAGAAAAAATATTATGAATATTTAGATAGGTTTGTCACTGGTATCAGTGATACATATTTCAGAAGTACATAAAAAAACTAATAGAAATAAAGCTTAAAAAGGTATTTTTTCATTTTCTAGTTGATCTGGCACAAAACTGCTCTTACCAAATTGTGCTTTACCTCAAAACCCCTGGTCTTTGCAAGAAACCTAAATGATACTCCTATGAAAAACAAATTTATCTCCAGGTGCAGTGGTTCATGCCTGTAATCCCAACACTTTGAGAGGCTGAGGTGGGCAGATCACTTGAGGTCAAGAGTTGGAGACCAACATGGCCAACATGGTGAAATCCCATTTCTACTAAAAATACAAAAATTAGTCAGGCATGGTGGCGGGTGCCTGTAATCCCAGCTACTCAGGAAGCTGAGGCAGGAGAATTTCTTGAACCAGGAGGTGGAGGCTGTGGTGAGCCGAGATTGCACCACTGCACTCCAGCCTAGGCAACAGAGCGAGACTCCATCTCAAAATAAAAATTAAAATAGAATAAACTTATCATTGCCTTCAATGTAAAGATGTTGATTACACATTCTTATATGACCCACTGTCCTATGAAGAACACTCAAGAGACAATTTTGTCCCTAATGTCAGAAACATTGTCCCTCTTGTTTGTTTTACCCTCATAGGCGCTGTACATTTTACAGTTGGTTTTTCTCTTCTTCATCCAAGTTTGGAGCCAAATTACCAGCCACCTTACATCAAGTGCACAGGATCTGATAGAATACATTTTTATACTAATCTCACCATGAATTTCATCTTGCTAGATGCAGCCCCCTTCCTATATCAAGCATGTTTAGGACATCTAGTCATACATACATTTTTTGTGTACTAATCTCACCACCAACTCCATTTTGCTTTCTTTAACTTCCCTTTGACTCTTTATTACTAATACTTATTTTCACTTGTTTACTTATGCTTCTTTGTAAAAAGCCTTAAATCATTTTTAGAAAAAAATAAATAGAAGTAAATAATATCTTATTCTTCTTTGAATACTTACAAACTGAAATATATTATTTTCCCTAATTTCTAACATAGTCACTGTTGCATGTAAATGATTACTTTTTAGTTCAACACTACGATTCTTATGAACTATCAGAAAGATAGAAATTTCGTGAAAAGAATGACCTCTTTCAGCCACAGATATGATTAAAAATTTACTAATGTAAAGATCAAGTGGAAAACTAGGGCTTACTTTAATAGTAACCTAGACTTCTTTATCAAGAAACTAGTGGTAACTTTACATAATTACAAACAGAAGATGAGGAACAATGCCTTAAGTGCCACGGGAAATGCAATGGCTTAAACTATGTGTTCCTTCCAGATTCGGTGTATCATCTTGTTTGCACACGAGAACTGGGAGAGAAATTTTACTCTTTGACCAGACTGCCTCCTAGCTGTGGAAGAATAGTACTGCAATTTGTACTGTAGCACAAAAATTATCCACACATTGAAATTAGGACTATATTATTTTATTTTGGGCCACAGTTACTTGAAACAGATTAAATAAAAACTTAAAAATGACTATAATGTGCATGTGCAATTGGCATGCAAAATTTTAAAACCATTTCAAAACTACATCAATTCTTGGTCTATCTGAAAAATAAGCTAAAAAAATTAAACATTAAATAACTGGTTCCAATAAATTTAAATTACTAATTTAAAAAGCACTTATAACTTTCAAATTAAGACGTTAAATTAGTAATTGAGTATCTAAATAAGACTCGTTTTCTGTTGGTCTGAGGTTTAAATGGGAGGAGAAATCTTTTTGAAAAGACACATCTCAAAAAGCATTCAAAAGCAGAATCCTTTAGGAATATCCTCATGTCACAGTATTTAGTTCAAAATTATCTGAATAAATTCAAAACAAATAAAAAACTAAATTTAAGCCAATATAATAAGAATTGGGTTTCTATTGGTCAAATGTCCTAGCTGGTATCACAGTACTATAGAAGCTTTTAATTTATTTATGTATTTATTTTTTATAGAAACTATTTTAGAACAGGTGATAGCAGAGCTGAAGATTAAAGGACAGGAGGACATCTGCATAAAGGGATAGGAAAAGTGTTATTCAGAGAGTGGAATTATGGGCACAGGCAAAGAGAATTACAAATGTTCTGGGAAGACAGTGGAGTTTGGTATAGAGGATACTGATGTAGGGATGGGCAAAGGTAAGAGGTTTCATAACTGATGACCTCCATTTTCACAATGAGTAGGTCATGTATGACAGTAAGTTGAGCAGGATCAAATGAAGACTTAAAACAGTGAAGAAGGCTTAGGCTATATCTTAAGAGGAATCAAAGAGGAAGATCACAACAAGTATAAGGATTAATTGGAGGGTGTTTTTGTTTTGTTTTGTTTACTTTAAACTGACATTGACATACTAAGTTCTTTTATCTGGATAGCCAAAATTAAAAGCCTAGGTTTACTTCAGAGATCAGAAATAGAAAGTTATAATGTCCTTTACAGACTTCCACATGCATGCAAAAATACTCTAATTCAGGTTAATTTTATGGCATACGTTCTACATTTTACTGTATTACAGCATCTATAAGATCTTACCAGTATATAAGAAAATTAAGCTAAGTAAAATGAGGACAAAATCTAAAATCTAACAATTTGGTGTATAAATTCAACATCAGAATTTAATTTATTTATGCTTGAGAGGATGGATAACTCATTCTCCATGATGATTAGTTTATATTACATGCTTGTATCAAAACATCTCATATACCTCATATATATATATATATATATATACTATATATCCACAAAAGTTAAAAATTAAAATTTTAAAGAATTTACATTTATTTATATTATCACACTTACAATGTATTCTTTTATCTTGATACCTAAGATCAAATAATACATTGTTGGAATAATTATCCTGTTACTAAAGTGTTGAATATATATTTACATCTTATTTCTGTTTGAGATATGCTAAATTTCCCAAAAATTGAAGTTAAGACATTTTAAAGACAATTAACATAAGTAGTTCTCCTTCACTATCTCCAACATGGTATTAAAACCACTTGCTGAGGGCTTGGCTTAAATCAATTTTATTAGGGGCCTTACAAACATCATCTCATTTAATCTTGCAGCCTCAAAAAGTAGCTACCATAATTCCTGTTTTATATATAAGAAAATAGGGCCATTCATAGTGGCTCATGCCTATAATTCCCAGTGCTTTGGGAATTATAGGTTTAATTTATAAATTAAAGATTTATATGCTTAAATCATTTTTAGAAAAAAATAAATCTAAATAAATTAAATAAATATCTCATTCTTCTTTGAATACTTACAAACTGGAATATATTATTTCTCCTAATTTCTAATATAGTCACTGTTGCATGTAAATAAATAATCACTTTTAAGTTCAACACTATGATTCTTATGAACTATCAGAAAGATAGAAATTTTGTGAAAAGAATGACCTCTTTCAGCAACAGATACGATTAAAAAGTTACTTGGGGCCAGGAATCTGAGACCACCTGGACAACATAACAAGGCCCCATCTCTACAAAAAAGTGAAAATTAAAAGATTACCCAGGCATACTGCCATGCACCTGTAGTCCCAGCTACCTGGGAGGCTGAGGGAGGAGGATCCCTTACAGCCGGGAGTTCAAAGCTGTATTTAGCTATGATCATACGTGTGCACAGCCATGGGACTACAGCCTGGCCAACACAGCAAAGACTCTGTCTCTACAAAAAAGTTAAAAAAAAAAAAAATCAGCCAGGTGTGGTGGCCCTTGCCTGTAGTCCCAGCTACTCAGGAGGCTGAGGCAGGAGGACTGCTTAGGACCAAGGCTGCAGTGAGCTATAACTGCATTATTGCATTCCAGGCTGGGTGACAGAGAGAGACCCTCTCATTAAAAAAAAAAAAAAAAAAAAAAAAAAGGAAGGAAGGAAGAGGAGGAGAAGAGAGGGGAGAGGAGAGAGGAGACGAGAGAGGAGAGGAGAGACAGAGGAGAGAGGAGAGGAGAGGGAGAGGAGAGGGAGAGGAGAGGGAGAGGAGAAGAGAAGAGAGGGTAGGAGAGGAGAGAGGAGAGGAGAGGAGGGGGGAGGGGAGGGAAGGGAAGCAAAGGGAAGGAAGGAAGGAAGGAAGGAAGGAAGGAAGGAAGGAAGGAAGGAAGGGAGGGAGGGAGGATCCCTATAAAGTCATTTGTCTGAGGTTACCCCGCTAGCAGCAGAATAGACATAGAACCCAAGAATCTCAAAGTCTTTGCAGAAAGAAAGGAAGAAGAAAGACAGAAAGAAAAAAAAGACAGAAAGAAAACAAGAAGAAATAGAAAACCTGAACAGACTAATAAAAAAATCACATGATTGAATTAGTAATGAAAAATTTCCAAACAAAGAAAACTCCAAGACTGGATGGTTTTACCAATGATTTATACCGAACCTTTAAAAAAGAAATAATACCAATTATTCTCAAACTATTACAAAAAAAGGAAGCACAGAGAACTCTTAACTCATTCTATGAGATCAGCATAACCTTAATAACAAAACCAAAGACACAAAAAAGAAAACTACACAATATCCCCAATGAACACAGACACAAAAATCCTCATCAAAATACTAGCAAACCAAATGCAACAGTACATCAAAAAGATAATACATGATAATCAAGTTGGATTTACTCCAGAGATTCAAGGATGATCCAACATATAAAAGCGAATAATGTGATACATCACATCAAAAGAATGTCAAAACCTATGTGATCATAGAAAGAGGGAGAGAGAGGAGAGAGGAGAGGAACAAAGAAGGAAGGAGAAAGAGAAAGAGGAAGGGAGGGAGGGAAAGAGGGAAGGAAAGAGGGAAGGAGGGAACGAAGGAAGGAACGAAGGAAGGAAGGAAGGAAGGAAGGAACGAAGGAAGGAAGGAAGGAACGAAGGAAGGAAGGAAGGAAGGAAGGAAGGAAGGAAGGAAGGAAGGAAGGAGGAAGGAAGGAAGGAAGGAAGGAAGGAAGGAAGGAAGGAAGGAAGGAAGGAAGGAAGGAAGGAAGGCAGGCAGGCAGGCAGGCGGGCAGGCAGGCAGGCAAAATTCAATGCCTATAAAGTCGTTTGCCTAAGGTCACTCTGCTAGGAGCAGAATAAACACAGAACCTGAGAACTTCAAAGTCTTTACTCTTTCCACCAAACTACAGTCTGTGCTCTTCACACAGGTCCCAAGGCCACCCAATTACCAGTAAAAACTTTTTCACTTTTTAAAAATTTAGGATTAGGCTATAACATTAACTGCTACATGCATCAAGTTTAACGTAAGAACAGTACAACTGCTGTTAGGGGCCATTAATTTTATTAATTGAACATCAGCAAAAATTTCAAAATACTAACTGAACATGAAAGAATACCATGATAGCCATATAATACCACTTTTATAAAGGATTTTTAAATAGAAAAGAGTATACTAATGTGTCTGATTAGGTAGATCTTTAACATTAATGGTGGATACATCCCCATACCCTGAAAATCCTGAAACTCGCTATGCAGCTATAGCATACACTGTTGCTCAGAAAGTGAAGCAATAATTTCCACCACAGGAGTTACCACAAACTCAAAGTCAAATTGCAAAAACAAAGCCACACTGACATGGGGCTGCTAGACTGACGGACCATGTGAACAGGTCCCACATACTGCCCTTCCAAAACTCTATCCAATTGTTTCATGTAAGAGTCAAATAAAATTATAAATTATTAGTAAATGGAACTTTAGAATTGTGAATTAAGGGAAGGATAAACGTTAAATCTGGCATCCGTAGAATCTAGCATACTAGGAATATAAAAAAAGATTATAATTAGTCCATCAAACTTAATATACTAGCTATCAGTAGTACTAAAAGAAGTTGGTTAAATAGAGGAGCTGTGTTTTCATACAAACATAAAAATATTCCCTTCAAAAGCTAATGTGGACCAAGCGTGGCGGCTCATGCCTGTAATTGCAGCACTTTGGGAGGCCGGGGTGGGTGGATCACCTGAGGTCAGGAGTTCAAGACCAGCATGGCCAACATGGTGAAACCCTGTCTCTACTAAAAATACAAAAATTAGCCAGCTGTGGTGGCGGGCGCCTGTAATCTCAGCTACTCGGGAGGCTGAGGCAGGAGAATTGCTGGACCCGAAGCTAATATGAATGTTTCAATTATGTACATATCTAAATGTGAATCTCAAATCCAGTGACACTGGAATAATAAGAATGGGGAGATGATGACGTAGCTTTAAAAAGTGTACTCAGTATTTGAATTTGCTTTTGATTAAAAAAATTTTTAATACCAATTACTGCGATGGTATAAATTGTTGTTTCCCAAAAGTTGCAATCGTTATTAAAGGGTAAGATACTGTGACTCAACCTTTTTTAAACCTAATGAAGTCTGTTAGAGTAATAACAGAGAAGCATATAAACTCATGTAGTTTATGTAAATAGTACCTATTAAAGGACCTATTATATAGTATTAAACACAAATAATATTTTGATTATGGCTAAATTATTTAAAATACTCATAGATATTAACAAAAAATATTAACTTTAAAATGTCAACAAGGTTTACTCATTCTGGCAGGAGAAGTTCACTTGGAATTAATTTTTTAAAAAATCCTCCCTGAAATTGTTAAGTGTCAACAAATTTGCTAAATTTGATAAAGTGTTCAAAAACATTTTTCTAGAGTCAAGCATGGTGGCTCACACCTGTAATCCCAGCACTTTGGGAAGCCAAGGACGGTGGATCACTTTAGTTCAGGAGTTTGAGACCTGGGCAACACGGCGAAACCCTGTCTCTAAAAAATACTAAAAATTAGCCAGGCATCATGGCATATGCTTGCAGGCCCACGTACTAGGGAGGTTGAGGTAGGAGGACTGCTTGAGCCCAAGAGGCTGAGGCTTCAGATGAGCCCTGACTGCACCACGGCACTCCAGCCTGGGCAACACAGTGAGACTCTGTCTCAAAAAAAAAAAAAATTTTTTTCTGAGCAGCAACTGAAAAATGTTCATCCAATGAAAAACATGATACACTGTTTGAAAACATAGATAGGTAGCTATAAAAGATGATGTATTTGCTATATCTTGATATCTTATTACTATATCAGTCGAAGTTAGGCAAAAAAGTACTTATTTTATACTCATAACTTTTTTTTCTGGAATTTCATTCAAAAGCAGATCCTCAAATAGTATTTCACAACGATCAGCAACTGTGTTCAATATATCCCTCTTTACTGCCTACAGGGAAAAACACACAAAAACAGAGTAAGAAATAAAATACTTTGGATTGACATTATTTAACTAACAAAAAAACATAATTTGCTTTCCAGTACAATCATGCCCACTAAATAACTGATACATCATTCAATGTTTTATTTCCACTTATTTAGCACACTTATTAACAAATGTATAGTTTAATGACAAATTTGCCTAGACCATATCTAAATAATTAAAACCAAATAAATGAATAAAGTTTCACACCTAAAAAAATAATTGCAGTGTTCCAAATTAGATACTAATATGTACAACTGTAGAACACTTACTAAACTTGTATAGCCATCATTTTTAAAAAGGCACAAAACAGATCCTCTACATATGAAAATCTTGACACCAGTTATGTGGTACATTTGGACTGTACAATAGGCCATTATCAGTTAAAATCAAATGAATAATTATAAAATATAAGATTAAAAAAAGGTAAAATTTTAGGTTTTTGTTAATAGTTAACATGTTTTCATTCGCTAGTTATTCCTTTTTGTACCTGCACAGCATCTTTAACTTTGGGTTTACTGCTGTGGATATAAGCTCTGCATTTCACAGTACCCTTAAGGTTTACAGAACCGCTACATATCTGGACTGTGGCTGTGGATCTGTGGTCTGAATTCAGGAGCTGAAAGACAAAATCTGTTTAAGTTCTAACAGCCAACAATGATTAACTACAGGAAATACTTAAACATTATATTAGAGATTTTATGAAGACAGAAGAAAGTTTCGACTGAGCCAAGCATTTGAAATTATTTGCCGCAAATTATTTAAAGGCCTTCATATTTGTTTTTATAAGTTATATATTATTTTCCAGGCACTTTGAAAGTATACTGAAGTTAAACACAACTACATCTAAATTTTTCTAACATAACCATCTAAAATGGTTCAATATTCACTCAATATGTTCCTAAAAATATATTATTTGCAAATTACTCACATCAGTACTGTGATGATTAAAAGATGTACAAAGGCCGGGCGCAGTGGCTCAAGCCTGTAATCCCAGCACTTTGGGAGGCCGAGACGGGCGGATGACGAGGTCAGGAGATCAAGACCATCCTGGCTAACACGGTGAAACCCCATCTCTACTAAAAAATACAAAAAACTAGCCGGGCGAGGTGGCGGGCGTCTGTAGTCCCAGCTACACAGGAGGCTGAGGCAGGAGAATGGCGTAAACCCGGGAGGCGGAGCTTGCAGTGAGCTGAGATCCGGCCACTGCACTCCAGCCCGGGCGACAGAGCGAGACTCCGTCTCAAAAAAAAAAAAAAAAAGATGTACAAAGACATGATGTAGTAGATGTAAGTTGTGCAATGCAAAATAAGTTCAACAATAACAAAGTGGGATGTGAGAACTATGGTAAAACCATAAGCAATGCACAGACACATATATTTACACACTTTCAACCAAAAGCTTTCATAGACTAAAAGTAATGCTATGCTCCAGAGCAAAACTGAAACAAGTCAACTATGCCTGCTATCAGAAAATGGTATCAGTGGTCGTAAGCAGTCACTTTCATCTCACAGTCCCATCCTCTTCAGTCTAAGGCATGCCAGTGCTCTTGTTTGGTTTTCAGGTGTTTCACATATATTTTCAACCTCATCATCTTAATAAGTGCCAAAAACAAGGATAGTATCAAAATAGTTAAAGTACTACAGGTACTTTAACTACATCCCTATTCCGAAAATCCTGAATGCTCCAAGATCCAAAACTCATTGAGCACCAATGTGATGCTCAAAGGAAACACTAATTAGAGCATATAAGATTTTAGATTTTTGGATTAGAGATGCTCAACTGGTATGTACTCTGCAAATATTACAAAATCTAAAACAATCCCAAACCCAAAACACTTCTGGTCCTAAGAAGTGTTTCAAATAAGGCACACTCAACCTGTAATAGAGGCTCATAATAATGGAAACAAAAAATCATGATTTAAAAAGATAACCAAAAAATTGAAATGGTAAGGAAGTAATTTATGTTCTAAGAACACTTGGAGTATAAGTCATCCAACAACGAAATCAATTCTGAAGAACAAGAGTCAAATTACACAACTTGTGAAAAGTGCTTTGTGCCTATCTGCTTACGCAATCAGGAATAAATGCGGAAAAATAATGAAGAGTAGAATATTTAAATGCATAGCTATCAAAAGAGCATTATTTGGTGTCTAGTGTAATTCAGGCAATATCTAAGGTAATGTAAACCTTCTAGGTGTTGTTAAACAATTTAAACTCTAACATGGTCAAGGACTTGTTGATAAAAAATTAGCCACAGAACACACAGCTCCAAAGGTCCTGGGTCCATTCAAAAATGGCTATCATCAAATCAAGCAGCAGTCTGACCAAGCTGATACGATATCTGGAATAAGCTTCCATATGACACATGTAGAGTTCACTGATACATCAATAAGGTGGGGTTGGAGGAGGAATAACAGGCTTCCTCTATCTACTCCATAAATTTTTACTGTAGACAAAACTACTCTAAAAAGAATGCCCTATTTTACATATTTAATATATAACGTATATCTTTTTAACATATAACACATTTACATATTAGTATATGTAAATATTTGTGTGTGTGTGTATATACATCTATCGAGCTAGCTACCTATTTATCTATCTATATTTAATTAGGGCACTGTTTTCCAAAATAGACTAGACTATTAAAGATCATATACACACATATTAAAGAAAAGAGGTATTTTTTGGTTGGTTGGTCGGTTTTGTTTTGTTTGAGGCAGGGTCTCGTTCTGTCGTCCACCCTAGAGTGCAGTGGTGCTATCACAGCTCACTGCAGCCTCAAGATCCTAGGCTCAATCGATCCTCCCACCTTCGCCTCCCGAGTAGCTGGGACTACAGGCACACACCATCACCCCCAGTTAATTTTTGTATTTTTTGTAGAGACAGGGTTTCACTTGTTGCTCAGACTCATCTTGAACTCCTAGGCTCAAGCGATTACCCTGCCTAGGTCTCCCAAAATTGCTGGGATTACAGGCATGAGCTACCATGCTCAGCCAGGAAAAGTTTTAAAGAATATAAGGTCTGACTCATTCCTTTTAGGTGGAAATGTAAACCAGTTGGGGTCTACAAATGTAAACTCCTCTTGATTACCTGGACTTAGGAATAACCTGGCTGACAAACAGCCTTTAGGTAAAGGAACTTCTGTGATGCTAACATGGTATTTGAAAAAGAGAAGATTCCCCATTTCTATGAGAACCAAATGAAATCTTACACAAGTAATGGCATTTGGGCTAGATCTTAATGTACTGATAGGATTTTGACAGTTTGGGTGACAGAGAAAAGAGCAAAGACATAACACATAGTTCAGGAAATACAGAGTTTTAAAGGTACAGCAAGCACACATCTAGAAAATAAGAGCTAGAAAGAAAGAACAAAAAGGTATGTTGAAGCTATGAAGAACCCTGAGTTGGACTTCTCTAACTAGTCAGTACAGAACACTTAAGAAATTTTGAGCAAGAAGAATAATATAATCAGTGTCTGGCCATTGTACAAACTCAATAAATACTTCTTGAAAAAAATTAATAACTGAACATAAACTATGATTCAGAAATGATCATCTGAGTGTATAAACAGGATAGAGTAGATAAATGGAAAGTATTTCAAGAGATATACTAACAAAGGTAGAAGGGTTTTTAGAGAAACAATCAGTTTGGACAAGAATGTATAGATGAAGAGAGACCAGTTAAGGGTTACTTGTGCTAATTTAGGTAAACTAATAGTGTCGTAAGGCTAATAACAGCAGGACTGTATGAAAAATAAAAGAAAAGCTTAATACTACAAATAAGGAATCAATGAGACTTAACTGGGAGAAAAGTGGCAATAAGTACTGACTACTTATTGTATATTAGTCACTTCAAAATTTCCAGTTAAGTGATCGGTGGAGTGACTGCCAAAAATATACTATATAATATTACAATAAATTATCTCATGAGATTATCTTTCATTCATCTCTCTATATTCCCACACTCTATATATCTCCCAACTACAATTTTATACTATTAATAAAATAATCTTAACCAAATTGTTTAATAAACCATGTAGTAAGCCTAACTAGTGAAGAGCACATAAGTAGAGGAATAGCCAGCCTCAAAACAAAGGACACTTCTAAAATCAAGACAAAGTAGAAAATCAAGACTAAAATACTTCTAAGGTATTGAAAAATGAAATTGAGAACTCACATTGAGTGGCATAAGTCCAAAGACAATTTACTAATGCTCTATTGCTACACACAGAAAAAGAAGAAACTAAAACATCCTCAAATGCCAAATTGCTTTTTAATTCTATTCTATTCAGTTCAAAAAAAGACAAGTCCTGAGAGTACTTCTATTTCAAAATTCAGTATAATATTGAAATAAAGTTTCCTACAAACACGCGTGTGCTATTTTATACCCCTGTCTGTTCTTTAGGATAATTTCAAGTAGGATTAAAATCAAAGGCATGTATATTTTTAGGAGTAATTAGTGGCTTTAACTTTTTATTCTTCAAGATATCCAACTTTTAAATTTTCGAAAAGATGTGTAAATTAATGCAACCATACAGAAATATAAAACTTGCTAATACTTTGTAATTTTTATCAAATCAAGGGGTATAAATCTAATAAATCTACTTGAAATTAAGCATATGAAAACTCTTTGCACCTCTGTATACACATCTTTTACTTTTAAGTTGTTAAAATTGCAACTTTTAACTATAAAAGCTACAACCCAAAATATTTACACACATGCATACATATCACGTATGTATGTATATGTACATATTTTTTTCAACTGCTATTGATGTTAAAATTTTAATATCCTTAAGGCAAAAAACCCAAACAGGTTTTATTAAAATGACGTTTCTTGGGAATAACCTTCCTATAACCAGCCATTTCATACAGTCTCTTACAGCTCTAAAATCCTTTTATTCTCTAACGAGAAACATAAAAACAGAAAGTTTCATTATGGTTAGTCTAATAAATACTTTAAATAAGTGGTATTTTAAAATATTTACCAACTGCGTTAGCACTCTGACATCAAAAGAATGACTAGTTGCTTGAGTATTTCCTCTAGAAGATTTTTTCTGAAAAAACACAAAAGTTAAAAAGTCAAATTGTTAAGACTATAGAACATAAAAGACAACTTAGACTATTGTAGATGTACTAAGTAACTTAGAAAAAACAAGTCTTTTAATTATTTTAATTTAGTTTTTTACATAGATATTACTTTATGTATTCTGGATCAATGTGCAGTCTTTAAAACAATTAATTCCATGCTTTCATTCCTCTAAAGCAACAACTGGCAAACCATTGCCTGTGGGCAAATACCCACATTGCTACCTGTCTTTGTAAATAAAGTTTTACTGGTATGCAACCAGGATCATTCACTTACGTATATCTCCTGTAGCTGCTTTAATGCTACACAGTAGAGATAAAAATACAGACTGTGAAATCTAAATATGTATTATTTTTCTCTTCACATAAAGTTTGCTGATCCCTGCTTTGAAAAGGGAGGGATCACAGAAGTTCTGCTTCCTTCAAGTCAAAGCTATTTTAGAAGCCTCTATAGACTTCTCTTATAAAATGGCCATAGCTTTTGAACTGCCATGAGGGCAGAACAACATGTGGCCTTTGGTTGCAGGTCAGCAATTTGCAATTTGGAAATTAAATGAAATTCAGATGACACTCCCATAAGTTTCAGGATTTCAATTACATCATTTTCTCTTTTTTTCTTGGACTTACTTATTTTTTAACTTATAAGTTCATCAGTACATGTGCAGGTTTGTTACATAAGTAAATTTGAGTCATAGGGGTTTGATATGCAGATTATTTCATCACCCAGGTATCAAACCTAGTACCCATTAGTTATTTTTCCTGATTCTCTCCTTCTCCCTCCTCCCACCCTCTACCTTCCGATAGGCTCCAGTGTGTGTTTTTCCCCCCTATGTGTCCATGTGTTTTCGTTGTTTCGCTCCCACTTATAAGTCAGAACATATGGTATTTGGTTTTCTGTTCCTCTGCTAGTTTTCTTTTTTTCCTTTTCTTTTATTTTGAAATGGAGTCTCATTCTGTAGCCCAAGGCTGGAGTGCAGTGGCAGGATCTCAGCTCAATGCAACCTCCACCTCCCAGGTTCAAGCGATGCTTCTGTTTCAGCCTCCCGAGTAGCTGCGATTACAGGCAGCTGCCACCACACCCGGCTAACTTTTGTACTTTTAGTAGAGATAGGGTTTCACCATGCTGACCAGGCTGATCTTGAACTCCTGACCTCAAGTGATCCACCCACCTCAGCCCCTCCAAAGTGCTGGGATTACAGATGTGAGCCACCACGCCTGGCCCCTGCACTAGTTTTCTAAGGATAATGGCCTCCATCTCCACTCATGTTCCTGCAAAGGACATGATCTCATTCTTTTTTTTACAGCTGCATAGTATTCCATGGTGTGTACATACCACATTTTCATTATCCAGTCTATCATTGATGCGCATTTAGGTTGATTCCACGTCTTTGCTATTGTGAACAGTGCTGCAGTGAACGTAATGTATGCATGTGTCTTTACAATAAAACAATTTATATCCCTTTGGGTGTACAGCCAGTAATAGGATTGCTGGATCAAATGGTATCCTTGTTTTTAGGTCTTTGAGGAATCACCACACTGCCTTCCACAATGGTTGAACTTATTTATACTCCCACCAACAGTGTGTAAGCATTCCTTTTTCTCTGCAGCCTTACCAGCATCTGTTATTTTTTGACTTTTTAATAACAGCCATTCTGACTGGTGTGAGATGGTATCTCACTGTGGTTTTCATTTGCATTTCTCTAATGATCAGTAATGCTGAGCTCTTTTTCATACGATTCTTGGTTGCATGTATGTCTTCTTTTGAAAAGTGTCTGTTCATGTCCTTTGCCTACTTTTTAATGGGGCTGTTTTTCTAAGAAAAACATTTGCCCTTTATTTTAAAAGAAATTATAAATGAGAGGTAGATGAAATCAGTTTTCTTGTAGGCAAGGACTAAAAATAAGTCATCTTTTATTTTTCCTTAAGCATTAACAATTTAATAAGATGATTTTTCTCTTAACTCACCTGTCCTTCTAATAGGTCACAATCTTCATCTTTAACTTGTCCGTTAATCAAATAAACACCATTTTCTATTTCCTTGGCCCAGCGTGTAAGTCCATTCTTAAGAGAAACACAACATGGAAATCTTTCAGATTTCCTATCTCAATTAAACTTCCTATAATCTACTTTTTTCACCTAATAAACTGAAATATTAAAATCCCTAAAAGTCTCATTAATGCAGCATTTAAATCTAGTTTCACAAATTAAAAAAAAATTACACCCCCCAATTCTTGGTACCTTATCATATCTACTAATATAGTTTTTTTCTGATCTTTATCCCAGAATAACATTTATGTCACAGACTCGGGAGGTTATTAAGTACATGACCAGTTAAATAAAATTTAACGCCCATTACCTTAAAAAAAAAAAAGTGAGAAAAAAAACCTCAAATAATATGTCTAAATAATTTTTTTAAAAAAAGCTCCATTTGACATCTTCAATGGGAAAAATGAAGAAAAATAAGATAAAAATAAAAGAATGGTATAGAAATACAAAAAAGAACTGGAAAAAGACAAAAAATCTAACTACCAAGAGAAAGCTGAAAGTCCAAACACTATAACTTTGTACATTAATTACATTTTACATATGTTAATTAATGAATACTGGTGTATTTAGTTTAATGACAAAGCACATAATAATACTTAATTGGCACATAATAAATACTAGTGTATTTAGTTCAATAACTAAATTATTAGTTATTATTAAACTGAATACACTAGTATTATGACATTGTTCCACTTCTAAAAATTTCTAATTTGGCTGTGGGTATGGTTACTCACTCATATAACATTATTATAAACAGAATGTAATTTTTTAGGATTGTAAAATGAATGACACATGCAAGCAAAATAAAAGCAGATTGTTCACTTAGCAATCACTGAAGAAAATTCATTTTACCCTGATACCTTTGTATTTTTCTCCAGAGTATAGCTGACAGAAGTAGCAGAAAGTGGGATATGAATATTAATGTGAACTGTACACTCTAAAGAAAGCCATGAGGATAATAATCCACTTTGATACTTCCAATCTGCTGGTCTTGCTGAACCCTAGTAGTGGAGAAGGGAGAAAAATAACTATGATGTGGTCTAGATAAAATACATGGATCAACAAAACATCATTAAGTATATAACCTAAATAACGCATACAAGCTGATATCTAACATATATGGCTAAACCCTCGATCAAAAGACTACAGGTTGAACTAAATACAAAAGAAAGCATGTGTTAAGTTCAGTACTCTTCAAACTTGGCATCCTTGGCATCACTGCTCCTCCCAATGGTAGACAGAAAAAGAATCAGAAATTTCCATGTTTAGAATTCTGAAAGGTCCTTTGATCCTCTAGCTTCAACAGTATCAATATTGAAGATTCTGATGTGAAGCAAATAATCACTGAGCAACTCCTAGGTGGCCGGCATTCTCCTTCTGTCCCATCCTTGCTAATGACACTGCAAAGTTACTTTTTCACAACCCTTTTAGATGCATTAGCAAAGTGCTAGTCTGGGTTTTGCTGAATACACATAGCTTGTTTAGTAGGCATTGCAGCTACCAAAGTCCTCAGTCACTTTTATTACCAGCCTCTCAAATATAAAACTAAATACACAAACAAGGTAGGAGGAGATTAACAAAGATATTTTTAACAATTTTTTTAAAAGTTGGCTGGGCGTGGTGGCTCAAGCCTGCAATCCCAGCACTTTGGGAGGCCAAGGCAGGCAGATCACTTGAGCCCAGAAGTTCAAGACAAGCATGAGTAACATGGCAAAACCCTATCTCTATCAAAAAAAAAAACAAAAAAACAAAAAAACAAAAATAATTACGGTGCAGTGGTGCACATCTGTAGTCTCAGCTACTCAGGAGGCTGAGGTGGGAGTATCCCTCCAGCCCAAGAGATGGAGGATGCAGTGAGCCATGACTGCACCACTGCACTCTAGCTTGGGCAACAGAGTGAGATCCTGTCACACACACAAAAGTTTTCCTTACCTCTAATAAAATTAATCATAGTTCAAAGTAAAAACTATAGTTAGCTGTAGACATCAGTAGGAAGTGATGGCAATGGAAATTATTAAAACTAAATATAAAGCTGAATTTTGATTGAAAATACTTTGTGACACAGAAAAATCTTTAAAGAGTAAATTTCTTACCTTTGGATCATGCATATCGTAAGTTCGACAAAATATTCTTTACTAATTAAGGAAAGAAATAACCAAAAAAGGCATTATTGATAACTAATAAGAATATAAACCATAAAAAAATAAACTAAAAAATGCACACATCCAAAAGTTCTTACAAAATCATAACTTTAAAGATATGTGTACATATATGTATACATATGTGCATGTGTATACATATATGTGTATATGTAGTCATACATGTAAACTGCTGTCACTATAGTACTTGAGATGCTTGAAAAATCATTTCCTACCTTTTATGAATCCCGCTAATTGCAATAAATAGAATCAAAGCACTTGTGAAATTCTGCTCAAATACACATTCTCCATTAAAAAACGTAGCACTGTTTTATATGAGGTCAAACCTGAGACTATTTACTGGATTAAAGGGCTTGTACATGAAACTTTGCAGTTAAATACTAAAGATATAAAAAGAAAAAAAAAAAAAGGCCCTGCTTCTGCAGGAATGGTCACTATTAAAATTCTGTCTTTGGAAGTCCATCAATCATGTCACTCCTTCGGTGAGGCTGACCCTTGCTTGGGAGGTACCCTTGCCCTGGCAAGGTGCAGACAAGAGAAGGTAAGGAGGTCCTGTAACTGGCTTTTAGTGTCATTTCATCTTAGCCAAAGACGTAAGAATTTCTCGGATGTCCTATACTATCCAGCTCTGTGCACCTGTGCTTTGAATTGTACATCATTATCTATCGAAACTGGAGGTGAAAACTTCACCAAAATAAAAACATTACTTTGCCTAAGTCATGAGTTAGGCATTTATCTCTGTAGAGAACCTATTGTGCTTGGATGTACAGGGGCAGATAGGTAAAAAATTCAAAATCCTGAGACTTTCATATTTCAGATCTCAAGCTTTTTATGAGATCATGACCTTGGGACATGATTAACAACCATTATTGCTATTATTATTATTAGCAGCTCTAATTCCATGTTATTTACAGAAAAACCTTATAAAACTATGCCTATTTTTCAAATGATGATTTAAATAGCAAAAAAACCTTGCAATATTATTATTTTGGTACTTTGTACTTTTAAACCATAAACTGAACAAAAGATACTTTTTTGTAGAAGCACAAATGTGAAGTGTCACTCGTTCTGAGACCTCCTCCTCTGTGAAATTCCACAATCTCTTTCTATTTATAGACTTTTCCACAGCATACATTAGCTGAAAGAGAAAAATACACATCAATTGAATGCAAAATGAAAAAAAACAAGTGAGTGTTGAAATAGGCAATTATAATGTCCCCAACTCTCATCTAGCTTTAAAATTTCATGATTCTTTATTTACTGGAGAAGGGGTCTCATTATGTTGCTCAAGTTGGCCTTCAATACCTGGGCTCAAGCAATTCTCTCACCTCAGCGTCCCACATAGCTGAGACTACAGGTGTGTGCCACCATTAATTTTTCTTTTCTTCAAATTAAAGACTGGAGCTAATTACTAACCTTTTTGAGTCCCTTTTAGGAAATTACAAAAAAATTGGGTTTAAATAAAAAAATGTAATTCACTGTCATTAGTGATTAACTGGACATGAACAATTAATTTGGGGCAACTAGAATTTACATAAACTATGGAACAGAGCATTTTATTTTCATTAGAATGAGAAATGACAAGTGATTTTAACTAAAGAAATCAAGCATGTCATTAGCATTTCTTGTTTAAATGTCACACAAGACTTAAGGCAATATATAACAACATATAAAATATAGTAATAACATAAATTAAAAGTTAAAGTAGAATAGTGAGATAAATTTGTGTCAGAAATAAGAATTATAAAAATGCATACTTGATATAAGGGGTGGTAACACATTTCACTCTAAGCTTTCTAACAATAATGCACAGAGAGAAATCTAATCTGTAACCTAATTCACACGGTCTGTAAGCTGAAGACAAACAATCATCAGAGGAGGCACAACTTTCTTCATGATATAAAAAGAAATTTCTTCCAGAAACACAATATTAATGTAACATGATGAATAAAGTTCTTAACAACAATGGGTGACACTGACAAGTTTTATAAGGCTGTTTCTTATAGTGTTGGTCAATGTAAGCCAATGGAAACAATTAGATAATTGAAACTCAGTAATTTTACAGATAAGCATTTCTAAAGTTTTATATACTTTTTGGGAACAAAAGATACAAAAGCAAGGAAAGTGGGCCTGGCTATATCCCTCTAGCACTGGGCCCACATTCAACCCACTCAATTCTGCACCAGCCACAAAAGGGTGCACAATCAATGCTATTAATATTAAATACGCACAAATTTAGGTTAAATTTCAAAATGCCAAAGGGAATGAACAATTGTGAACAAGGTAAATTTACTTAAGATGGAAAAATTGGCAGAGGGTCAAACAATTTAGCAGGGAGGAGAATATCTCCATTTTCTTCCCTTACTCCCTTAGGTGTAAATATCAGAGGCTTGAGGCTGGGATATCTGACATGACAGGTTACAAGACTGAAAAAAATCTGTAACATCTGAAGTTCTCAGCTGCACACTTTTTGTGGGATACTGTTGGGGTTGGGTTTTACATGTCTCAAGATTAGAAGGTCCCCCCTCTTTTGGGGTATGAAATACCCTTCAAAACGTTCATGTGGATCCTGAATGCTGAAAGAGCTGGCTACACGGAGTTTACCTTAGGTTTGGGTTTAAGGGAAAACAGCTTGTGCAACTTCATATTTACTTTTACACTACATTACCCTATTCTCTGGTGCAGTAATTAAGCAAAAAACACAGGAGATTCCTGATAGATACTGCGTCCAGCAATAATCTGATTCTTTATGTTTTACTCTTGGGATCCAGGGAGAATTGAAAAGAAGGTAAAGAATTTCAGCACCTATTAATTTCATGTTACAATAATCACCAGGTACTAAATGGAAGGTGTGATAGAATACTGCTATTGTACAAGAAAAACTGTTAAAGCATTATAACTTGTTTCCTAATAGTCAGAATTATCTCTAAAATAAAGACTATTTTAAAATATGTAGTTTTTAAAAATATAAACAGTTTTTACACTCAAGATATCCAAGCAATTGAGTGAAAAAAGCTTTTTCAATGTAACTCCAGCAAAAAGAATTATGGAAAACAAATTGAAATATGCCTAGAATCATTATATATACTCATAATCAATAAAAATAACATATAACTGATTTCATTAAGAATTTTCAATATATCAAACTTACTCTACGCAGGGCATTTTGAAAATCATTTGCCAGTTCTAAAGTAGTAATAATAAATACTCCAAGAACTAAAAGTCCCCCTGGTAGCATTCTGGATACCTAAAAATAGAAATATAGTATTAGCTAACGAAAGCATTTGGCATTATACACAATCCTTTCCGTTTGAGAAACTGTCTTCTTAGAGCGTCCTTAGCTTTTCACCTTAAAACTACTTTATAAATAAAACTATCTGATAACAACATCCTTTAGCTACATCAATAAATAAACCCCTTTCTCAGGAGATCAAAGACTGAAATATTTTTTCAATGGCGTCCCACCATCAGCTAAATAAAATTAAGTTTTATTTTAGATTGATATTTCGGACTTTCTAGAATTTGGTCAATCTGATGTTTATACCCTCATTTGACACTACTTTTCCTCAAGTAATTCAAATATTTGTCAAAAACTACTTGAAAAGTAGAGTCAAATGAGCTATAAACTGCTTCCCATATACATCCTAGGCTTTCTAACCCTATGTCTTTACTCAGGGTGCTCCCTAGGCCAAAAACGACTTTCTCTTATATTTCTATGTGTCTCAACTCTACTGGATACTTCAAAGGCAGCTTTAGGAAGCTGCCTTCTCTGATCCTTTGATCTCCGAACTCCCACAGGGCTTCGGGGTAGTTTTCCCAAGGATTTTATCACATAGCCTTATATTATAGTTATCTGTGAACCCTACTAGTTGGTCAGGGAGCTCCTTAAGGGAATAAGTAATTCTACCTTTGTATCCCTATTTTTAGCAGCATACTAGATCTGGAATTTGAACAGAGGGAGTCTGACTTGAAAATCCATTATTTTCTATTGCATAGATTAACCTCAAATTTTTAAGCCCATTTACTGATATTGGACATTTATGTTATATCTAATTTTACCTTAAAATAATATAGATTAAAAATCCTAGTACGTCTTTCTGCATTCATAGAATTATTTGTTTAGGACAAATCCCTTGAGATGGACAACTAGTTTAAGAAGTTATACATATTTTCAAGGTTTTTGATACATACTACATACTACCATGATATCTCCATATTTGTATTTCCCTTCACATGATTGTGGCTAGTTCTTAACACCACATGGATTTTTTTCTATCATCTACACTCAGAGATTAGAGTGCTTTGGTTAGCTTTTCATTAGTTAATGTATAAGGAATTAATCAGAGTAGAGTCTTAAAAAATTAGATACCATGCTCTAATCCTTAATCTACCTGCATTATGTTTGCTGGTGGTTTCCTCTAATTTAATAAATTCTATTTACTATGGTAGCACAATCTGACAAAGTTTTCATATTTAGCATAGGGAGCCTGCTATCTTTTCAAAATCACCAACACAAAAAATTAACCATTTTTTAGGAGATGGAGGTGACAGCAAGAAAGGGGAAAAAGTAAAATCAACCTTTTCTTTCTAGAGGTAAAAGGTTAAGCTAATTTACTATATAAATTCATTAATACTCTGTGTGTGTGTGTGTCATATACAATTTCATGAGAGACCAAAAGCAAAATTAGAGTAGAAAGTTATTTATAAACCATTGGGAATTTAACTTTACAATACTTAATTTTTTTTTAGAAGATAGTTGCCATGTTTGTCCCCCTTAAACATCATGTTGAAATGTGAACCCAAGTGGGGTCTAATGGAAGCTGTTTGGGTCATGGGGCAGATCCCTCATTAATGGCTTGGTTACATCCTCACACCAACGAACGAGTTCTCGCTATATTTGTTCCTAGGAGAGCTGGTTGTTAAAAAATAAAAAAAAAGCCTGGCACCTCCCAACCCCTTGCTTCCTCTCTGGCCACGTGATCTTTACACACCAGCTCCAATTTGCCTTCTGACATGAACAGAAGCAGCCTGAGGCTTTCACCAGATGCTCAATCTTGCAGCCAGCAGAATCATGAGCCAAAAAGGCCTTTTTCCTTTATAAATTACTCAGTCTTAGGTATTCCTTAATAGCAACACAAACGGACTAAAGCAATAACAATTAAATATTGAATTTCTTTGTTTTTTGTTTTGTTTTGTTTTTTGAGACAGAGTCTTGCTTTGTCGCTCTGGCTGGAGTACAATGGCGTGATCTTGACTCACTGCAACCTCTGCCTCCCAGGTTCAAGCAATTCTCCTGCCTCAGCCTCCCAAGTAGCTGGGATTATAGGCACCTGCCACCACACCTGGCTAATTTTTCATGTTTTCAATAGAGACGGGGTTTTGCCATGTTGGCCAGGCTGGTCTCGAACTCTTGACCTCAGGTGATCCACCCGCCTTGGCCTCCCAAAGTGCTGCGATTACAGGCAGGATTTTTTTTTGTATATAACTACGCACTGCCCCATAATCACAAACACAAACACAGATACAGATATATGTCCGTATATATATATACATACAGAGAAACACACGTTTGAGTTTAAAAGATTTAAAGTTGATTGGAAAAGGAAATAATTCTTTTATTTCTTAAAGAAAATTCTTTTTCTTCAAAAAAACAAAAACCCAAAAACGCAGAATGGGCAGGTTTGTCACATAGGTATACCTGTGCTATGGTGGCTTGCTGTACCTATTGACTCGTCCTCTAAGTTCCCTCCCGTCACCCCCAACCCCAGAAAAGGAAATAATTCTATTTTTAGCTTATTCTAACATTATGTATTTGATGATACATAATTCATTCAATAAATACTTGTAAGTGAATTTAGTCATTATTCCCACTCACTCATCCCAAATCTGTTTCTTCCTTGTATAATGCCAACACTATCCTCCTAGACACCCCAGCTAACAATCTCATTCATGTTTAGCTACTTTCTCCCTATGTCTCTTCTCTCTACTCAGTCACTAAATCTTCTTGATTCTAGCTTTTTTGAAATAAAACTAAAACATATAAACAGAAAAATAAGATAACCTGGTAGGCATGTTCTGTGGCCCATTCTTCATCCAAGTTATCCAACTTAGCTTTGGGATGTTTGAGGTTCTCACTTTGTTCCTCTTTGGGGGGCGTTCTAGTGGCAAGAATCACATAATCCTTTTGTGAAGAACACTTCAAAAACAAATTTAAAAGCTTGTTAGAGTGGTATCTGATTCCTCAATCTAATTAGAGTGATACCTGAATTCCTTACCTTTTATGACATGCAAAAACTGAGTAATATTTGTTAACAGGTTAAATCATTAACACCAATATTATAGTGTAAGCTAAAGGGAAGCTAATTTTCAAGAGTGGCCTTACAACCTTTCCCTCACATGTTGTTTATCTTTTAACGTATTTAATATCGGCTTCTTATTTATTTGGACAACTCAAATATAAATCACAGAGTGGTCCCTAAAAATGTTTTACGGGATGAGTAAATGAATTACATTAACTAAAAAGTAATATGCTTATTCAGTTTTCTAGTTATATTTGTTATATTTTCTAGATATATTTGTTTTATAAATAGTAAGTGAACAGATTGGAAAATATCAGTGAAATTAAACAACAAGTGACCTTTTGTATCTTATTTTAACTGAAATGATGACAGTGGGGAACTTCCACATACATTTCCACAGAATAACAAAGGGGATTTGGGACACTATTCAAAGTGACACCAGATTCTATGTTCTTCAAGGGTTTTTTCTGTTTTGTTTTTTGTTCTTTGTGTGTGTGCGTGTGTGTGTGTTGATTTATTTATTTAGAGACAGGGTCTTGCTCTAATGCCCAGGCTGGAGTGCAGTGGCACGATCACAGCTCACTGCAACCTTGAACCCCTGGGCTCAAGCAATCCTCCCGAGTAGTCTCCCAAGTAGCTAGGACTACAAGGCTTGAACAACAAGCCACAATCGTCCGGCTAATATTTTTTTTTTTTTTTTTTTTTTTACTTTTTTGTAGAGACAGAGTCCTGCTATGTTGCCCAGGCTAGGTCAAACTCCGAGCTTCAAGCAATCCTCCCACCTCGGCCTCATAAAGCATTGGAATTACAGGCATGAACCACCACACCCAATCTGTTCTTCAGTTGTAAGATCAGTTAAGTAGTGACCAAAGGTGGGAGATTTAAAAATAAATGTAGGGAACATTTAATAGCTCAGTTTCACTAGAGTGAAAGTTTCCTACAAAAAAGAGTGAAAATAACACTGCTAATGCAAGTTAGCATTGTATCATCCCCACACATGACCTGAAATGTATTAGACCTGAAATGATCATTAGTATCACCTTGGGATAGAAAATAAGATTAATTATTCCTACAAGTTATTTTCAGGAAGTTACATTCAAACAAACACAGGAAAAGAAGGTAAGTCTCAGTTAAGAAGGCTTCTCTTTTCTTCATAAAATGTATAACTTTGAAAAGAAAAACTGACAGAGACCAGGAAACAAGCAAGCTTAAGGGGAAGGAGAGGAAAAAGCAATAAACTCTGGAAGAAAAGCGAAGAAAAAGCACGTAGAATACTGAAAGGAATGAATTCCTCTGTCCTTGAGCAAGACATACTAAAGCATAAAGACAGATGGAAGGAAGGCCTTAAATTATGAGACACTCATTTGTAAGATGGCAGTTTGCCTGAGCTTTAGAAACAACCTTTATCCAGTTAAGACAAATTTAGAAGAGGGTCTTTCTCCCTGACTTTTTATCTCTACCGATCACATCTTTCTCTAAGACTTCTTCTCTTTAATATTTTAAACAAAGAGAAACAAAAAAACCTAAACAGAAAACTGCTAACAAAAAGAGCCCCGAATTACATGCTAAGTAACTGAATTAAAAAGAAATTCACACTGTTCTCAAGAGAGGTGGTCTGGTTGTCTAATGAGAGGCTTCACAGGGTGATGCTACCTGGTTGATCCATGTAGATGTGCCCTCTGTTTTGCAAATTAAGAAATGAGATTTGTAAAAATTCTGAAAATGAGCCTGTCTTTCATGGCTAGACTGACATTAACTGAGTTTATTCAGAATGATGTAGAAAGCTAAAATGTCATGAAGGCATCTGAACACATGAGTCCTCTGGACAGTGTATTCTTTATAAATAGATAACATGGGGCATCAAACTATAAAAGAAAGTAGCTTGGGAATATGGATAGAATCAGAATAAGGAAAGTTAATTACATAATTTGAAGATTCTAAGGCATCAGGCTAAGTTATCTAGAAAGAAAATTGTCCCAACAAGAGCTTTATTGGCTAGTAGGCCTCAAAATCAAGTCCTCGGGCCAAAGTGCACTCTCCCCAGTGTTTTTGGATAGACACAGTCAGCTTGCCTGTGTGGCTCTTTTTTTTTTTTTTTTTTTTTTTGCTTTGTACTGCTGACCAGTCCCTCCAGCTGATTAACAGGTTCTTCTTTCACCCATAACAAATCAGTGGCATAGGTTTTAAAATAAGTACCTGAATCTCTGTTTGATTTTGTGTCGATTTTTAAGACACAGCTCTAAGAAGAAATTAGAATTTGTCTAATTTCCAAATTTTTCCCAATCCTTCTCCCTCCTTATTGATCCAACATAAAAAAAAAAAAATGCAGTAAGATGGGTACTATAGCATATAAAAATATGACCACTGTTGCTATAATGTCTAATATAAGACAACACAAATCAGAATAGGAATAAAATTTTCAAAAGCTTCCTTTGTAAAGAATTGGATAACCAGATATTAGAAAGATTAGAAGGGAGTACAAAACACTCTGGAAAGACAACAAAATGTGAATAATCTGGTCAATGAACATTCTAATTCTGAAGTTTCCATGTAATAAATTACTTTTACATGGTGAAAGGGGAAGGTGTCCTGACTTGAGCAAAACTGGGCTAGGTTTGTCACTTTTCCATGTTTCCCCAAAGATCTACTTTAAAGTTACTTCTTCTACATTCCTTCTTCCATCCCCCAACCTTGAGTTTATTATTAAACAGCATCTTTTAACTTTAAATAAACAAGTAATTTGTTTTAATAAATTACAGAGTAATTATTTAGTAATAAATACAGAGTAAAAGATACATACCTGTCCTATTAAAAGGCCAGAGACAAAAGCCTTTCCTTGGAGATTTATGTTTGAAAGATACTGGCCAACAGTCTCTTCTACAATGTAGGTTCTTCCCATTTTTAGGAACTAAAATCTCCTATATTACAAGAAAAAAAGATACAGTATTTTTAGATAAAATATCATTTGCAATGTCTTTATCATGAGAGTAGTACAGCAAAAGAAGTGATACTATCCTAAGGCCATCCCAGGCCTTGCAGCAAATGCTTATTACACAGTGTATTCCTTCTTGCAAAGTTCAGATGTAGTTCCAGAGTTCTCAATACAGTGCAGCAGGAAACAACCACAAATCAACCAGAGTTGACATGAGAGATCAAACCTTTTTCTCAAAGCTGGGATAAGGGAGAGGATACTAAACTAGTAGGCAATACATCAGATTGCTTTCTTTCTTTTTTTTTTTTTTTTAATTTATTTTTTCTTGAGATGGAGTTTTGCCCTTGTCACCCAGGCTGGAGTGCAATGGCACAATCTTGGCACACTGTAACCTCTGCCTCCCGGGTTCAAGCGATTCTCCTGCCTCAGTCTCCTGAGTAGGAGGGATTACAGGCACCCACCACGATGCCCGGCTAATTTTTGTATTTTTAGTAGAGACGGGGTTTCACCATGTTGGCCAGGCTGCCCTTGAACTCCTGACCTCAGGTGATCCGCCCGCCTCGGCCTCCCAAAGTGCTGGGATTACAGGTGTGAGCACTGTGCCCGGCCAACACATCAGATTTCTTATTTTAGATCTACTTCATAGTTGTATTGTCTTTGATAATATATTGCTAAGTCTGTGTTCTCATTGCTAAAATAGTAAACATGAATTTCTGAATAGTTCATTAGGAGGTAGAGTCAAATTCATTTACTTGATAAGCATATATGAAAGAACTATACTTTTGCTTAGAAACTATGCTAAGTGCGATAACACAAAGATGAGCAACACAGTCTCTGTCCTTGAGCAATACATACTACAGTAAGAGTTATTTAAGTAGATAAATAGCAATACAACAACAACATTTATATAGCTTCTATTTTGAACAAGGCATTATTGTAAGTACTTTCCATGTAACAATAATTCATGAAACCCCAGGAAGTAGGTACCATTATAATCCTCATTTTATATATGAAGAAACTGAAGTGAGAAAAGTTGATTAAATAACTTGCCAAAGTGACAAAGTTGGTTAAGCGGCAAAGGAGACACTCCAGCTCTAGAATCCCTGTTTTTCAACACCATTCTCATAATGAGGAATCGTAACCAGTCCTTCAATTAAATCATTACTAAGCATAGCTCTTGTTCTGCTTTCTCTCTGGTTTGTGGAAGGAAATCAGTATATTCATTCCCTCTATTGGCTTATGCTCCTTTGATTTGCATTTCTATAGCTTAAAACCAAAGATACTGAATAAAAGAGCTAGGCAATATAATGAATGATTAAATCAAGGAGCTCATAATTGGTGAGGATGAAAATGTAAAAGAGACGATATCCAAAAGAGCTATAAAACAAACAGAGACTGCAGGAACATAGTTACAGTATTTTGAACACTGCAATTTAGGAATAATCATCATTTGGGTTCTGTAAAAAATGTGAATCTTATTCAGTACCACAAAGTTAAGGCTACCAGAGATATGCTGGGATGGTATATCTGATACCAGTAAACTGTCAGTCACAAGATGGTTTTGCATTTTAAAATTAAAGCCCAGAGAATGGATTCAAGTTTGAACTGTCCTACTAGAGGCTGTTTCATTATTGTTTCAATGGGCTTGCTCAGTTTTGTCTCAAAATACGTTAATTTCTTCCTAGCTCTTTTTTGACAACAATAGACGTGAATCAGATTTGCATATCATTTTTTAGAGACTAAGTCTAGGAATGCTTGTCTAAATATCACTGATGCCTCTGTGAAGTTAAGGGCTTTTACCTTTTAGTAATGCCTTAAGGTATGAAATTCTATGTATTAACTTTCCTCTACTTCATCATATTATACTCCTTTTCCTTCTGCTCTAATAATTCTTAATTCTTGCAACAAATACAAATAATTCCAAAGTTATATTTACCCTTTTAACCTTAGTTCTTCTAGGGTGTCACCTAATAGCCATATTAATGTGTAAGAAACTCAATGCAATAGAAAGGTGAAAATCTGTTCAATTATGAAATCGGATTGAATGTCAGATAAATTTTTCTTTAGTGCTCTTTCAAAATTTTTAAATGTAGTCAACCATACTTTATAAAGGGCAGTACTAAAAATGTATATAGTCAGCTTTCCATAGCTGTGGTTTCCACTTCCATGTATCCAATCAACCACAGATTGAAAAAAATTCTATTTTAAAAAAGCATGATTACATCTGTACCGTTAGTGCAAAGATGTTTTTTCTTGTCACTATTCCCTAAACAATACAACTATAGCATTTACATTGTATTAGGCATTATAAGTAATTTAGAGATGATTTAAAGTATGCAAATGCTACACCATTTAATATAAGGAACTGGAGCATCCATGGATTTCGGTATCCATGGGGTGGGCAAGTGAGAGGGTCCTGGAACCAATGCTCCACGGATACTAAGGGACCACTGTATTTTGCCTTATAGGGTCATAATTTTACAGAAATGTTGTATATCAGCCAAAGCCTTTGTGATCCAAGCACTGTGACTGACACAACTCAATCTTCCTGGGCTCCGGTTTCCTAATCTATAAAATAAAGCATTTGAATCCTAGCAGATCTGAAAACCTATCTAATGTTAGGATTCTGTGAATCTAAACACAGAAAAGCTACATTTCCCAAATGACAGATCAACAGTATGATAATACTGTGCGCTTAGGACACAGCATAATACTTCATATGCTAGCAACTTTAATTACAGTGCTTATCTAAAAAGTATTTTTGGGGAAAAATCAACCTTAAGCTCCGCTGCTGATTTATTTTTCCTTAGTTATTACAAAATATCACAAAATGCTTCCATTTATATTTCTTAGATGGCTTCACAACATGATTCAAAAGTAGGAACTAGAGAAAAAGAATAAATTTCATATAAGAAATAAATCTCCAATTCACAGAAGGCCCACGACTGTGGTAACTGCAGAGAGACGACATTGGGAATGCATTATTTACAAGGAATAATTTAATAAATTCTTTCAGAAGAGTAATTAAACACGAAACAAGCTACTGATCGAGCTTTAAAATTACAGAATTATGATCTGGAAACATGCAAGTTCTATTACTGTAGCAATTAACAATGTGTTTAAAAACTTCAGTTATAACAGTTTTCAATTTTAAAAACAATATTATGTTAGGTAACAGTTTCTGCAACGAAAAATTCAAAACATAGGCTACACTCAAAGTGCTAACGGTTTCTTTTAATTCTCCTCCTGAAGAATTAACCCGGGTCCTTAAATTCCCGGGTACTGAATCACTCAGTACCACCTCCCCACCGCCAAAAACCATTTAGGTACGCCGTTTCACACAAGGTAAGTTCGTCAGAAGTGTTTGCCGAAGTGACTGTCCATATGTTTCCAACACTCTGTCCCTTCCTTTTTCTCTTGAAAAGGGAGCTGTGTGCTCTAGTGCACAAGCGTGCGCGCGCGCGCACACACACACACACACACACTACACTTCGGCTGACTTACCTGTTTTCAGAATGTGCACTCGTGGCCGACAATTACCTCGGACAGTCTGTCTGCCGGAGATGGGGTTTTGGGGCGCAAGTACCAGCCTCTAGGGGCCAGATTCCCTCCGGTCTCAATTCACTGCCACTTAATTCATCAGAAAGCGACCTACTTCCCACACCTCACTTCCCACTCCAAAGCTAGGGTCTTGGGAGTCAGGTGGCGCAGATTGATGACGTAAAACGCCCCCCTCCCGTCACCGCAGAGCCTCAGCCAAAGCGACTGCGGTCGCCACCCCGCCCCCTTCTGGGCGCCATAGAGAGCGTGGCGGTAGCCTGGGGCCTGCCGTCCGCCCCTACTGGGACCGATGCCCTCTAGTGGCTCAGTGTCCAGAAGCCGCCAAAGAGGACGATCCATGGCATCCCGGGGCTTTGATGGTAAGGTCACCAGCTCTTCAGGGAGGGCCATGGGGTGACGAGTACGTATGTGGCGCCACCGTGCGGACAGCGGTTACGGAGCAGAGATAGGAGAGCCGGGGGGCGGGGAGAAAAACGGAAACTGAAAGGGCGATGCGGGATTGGGCTCGCGGAAGGGAATGAGAAAAACACTACATTTCCCAGAGGCCTACAAGGCCTGAAGTGGGTGGAGCTGGAAGCCGGAAAATTGAGTGCGCAATAGGATCGGGGTAGCAGCTGGGCTCGGGTTCCCGGGGTGCGTAGCTTCCAACGGCTGCGCGCGCACTTCGGTCGCGGGCGGTGAGGTACTGTTGCTGAAGCGCCGCCGCTTAGGCTGGACTCGATTTCCCAGGGTCCCGCCGCGGGAGTCTCCGGCGGGCGGGCGCGCGCGAGCCACCGAGCGAGGTGGTAGAGGCGGCGGCCCAGGCGTCTGGGTCCTCCTGGTCTTCGCCTTTCTTCTCCGCTTCTACCCCGTCAGCCGCTGCCACTGGGGCCCCTGGCCCCATCGACATGGCGGCGGTGTTGCAGCAAGTCCTGGAGCGCACGGAGCTGAACAAGCTGCCCAAGTCTGTCCAGAACAAACTTGAAAAGTTCCTTGCTGATCAGCAATCCGAGATCGATGGCCTGAAGGGGCGGCACGAGAAATTTAAGGTGGAGAGCGGTAAGTGAGATGCTCTTTCCGCCCTTGGTTATGAGCTTGACTCGCCCTTTGGGTCTGGTCTTCCCCCTATCAAGTTGGCACTGGGTACCACGCTGTTAACCTCACTTCCTGGGCTCTTTGGATATCCTGAGCCTTCTCTCTCCTGCTCCTTACAGTTTGATAAGAAGCCTTTGAAAAAAAAATCTGAATCTAAGTGTAGTACCATTTTCTTTGTAATTAGGGTAGGCTTGTATAGGGTCTCATTTTCCTTCGTCCGACAAACGGGAAACAGACTTTGCTGGAGTCTGCTAACCCATCTCTCTGAGCCTGGAGTACCTTGTATGTTTTGTTGCACTTCAACTGATAGTGGCTCTGCCCTATTTTCTAGTCACCTGCATTCTAGGCCTTTGCCAGATTGACCACTCTCTGCATTTTTTCTTAGTGTGTCCGTCGTCCCGTGGCCCCAGAATGAATTAGATGTTTACGAAAATGAATATTAGGTGCATAAGAGCGCTGGAAACACAGTGAACGTGCAGTACATAAATTTAATGTATCTGATTTCTCTCAAAAAGTTGGAGTTTGATAGAAAAAATTAAAATTTTCTTGTAATTACCTAAAGTAGGCCTTTAAGTAAGAAAGTTACTGACAAAAATGGCTTGAACATCCTTGAAAAAATATGAAGAATATAGTAATTACTATTAGTAAAATGCAAACTTACTGATAATGTGTTTTGGTTTACCGTTTGTTTGGGGAGGTTAATGCTGTTCTTGCTAAGTTGACTGGAAATTCTGAACAAGTTTTTACTTCAAAAAAAGTGTAACTGCTTAGCGCATTGGCTCACACCTGAAATCCCAGCACTTTGGGAAGCCGAGGCGGGCGGATCACGAGGTCAGGAGATCGAGACCATCCTGGCTAACACGGTGAAACCCTGTCTCTACTAAAAATACAAAAAAAAAAAAAAAAAAAAATTAGCTGTAGGTGGTGGCGGGCGCCTGTTGTCCCTGCTATTCGGGAGGCTGAGGCAGGAGAATGGCGTGAACCCGGGAGGCGGAGCTTGCAGTGAGCGGAGATTGCACCACTGCACTCCAGTCTGGAGGACAGAGCGACTCCATCTCAAAAAAAAAAATAAAAGTAAAAACAAGTGTAACTGTCAAGCAGAATTGACTTTGAAAATTAGTTCTGTGATCTCAGAGCTGAGTAGTACATTGCATTCTATGTATTAATTTGCACCGTAAATATTGAGTTTCTTACATGTTCCTGATACTATGCTGAGCACGATATTCAATCCCTTCCCTTGGGAAGTTTACACATTTACGTAAATTTAGTAGTTTTATGCTTTCAGGTAATATCTTGACTACTATAAAAGAAGCCTTTTAAAACAAAGCAGTTTTTTTTTTTTTTTTTGTCTAAATAATTTTTTCCCGTTTAATAAATACTTTATGGTAAGCAGTTTACTGATGTCTGGAGAAGATACCAAGATAAATGAGACATGTTACCTGCCCTGAAGACATTCATTTGTAAAGTCCCTTTTAGGCCTTATTTTTATTTTATTTTTTGTCATGTAAGTCATTTGGAAATGCTCTAAGTCCTTTTCAGTGCTCAGTCTATTTATCTTTACTCAGATTCTGTTACGTGAAGCGCAATTCTAGTACTATATCTTAAATTTTAAATTCAAGGTTATTAGAAATAAATAACAGTATTGACAATGTATGTACATGTGTTTGATTTTGTTGTTTTTTGCTTGTCTGCTGTAGAACAACAGTATTTTGAAATAGAAAAGAGGTTGTCTCACAGTCAGGAGAGACTTGTGAATGAAACCCGGGAGTGTCAAAGCTTGCGGCTTGAGCTAGAGAAACTCAGTAAGTATTTAATTCATCTTTGTAAGTATTCTTGGAGTATTGAAATCTTCAGAGACTCCTTTATATACTTGGGAAACATTTACTTACTAAATATGAAGATATTGATTAAGCATCATTGGTTTTTATTATGGTGATATTTTGATTTTTCACTTAGTAGTAAAGATTTTGTAAGAACACAGAACTTAATGGTCAGGAGGCCTGGATTCTTAATTCTGATTTTGCTATTAAAAACGCTTTTGCCACATGTAAATCTTAACAGTATCTGATTATTGTTTATAAAATGGCTAGACCTACATACCTGTCTACTTAGACAGCTTTGTAAATCAAATGAGATAAGAGTTCTTGAAATATTTTTAAAAAGGTGAAAGCGTTATGCAACTAAAGAAGTAGAGAGTGGCTTGTTTTTATGTTGAAGAATCGAAGCCTATTGATTTCATTATATTTATGTTTTAACTTTTTAAATAATTTTTATAAATATCTGTGAATCTCAGGATATTTCCCCTTTAAGGCCTAGTTCTTATAAAAGATTGATAGCTAATCTCTTTCTTAGTTTTCTTATATCATTAAGTTTTAGAAACCTCACAAGATGTTTGAAGGGGTGGCCTGCCCCTCCACACCTGTGGGCGTTTCTCCTTAGATGGAACGAGAGACTTAGGAAAAGAAATGAGACACAGAGACAAAGTATAGAGAAATAAAAAGTGGGCCGAGGGGACCCTGCTCACCGTACAGAGGACCCACACCAGCAGTAAGACATATGAATAAAGATCTCTGTGACATGAATAAGTTTAAGGAAAAGTGCTGTGCCTTGATATGCATATGTAAACATCTCCATAGATCTTTTTAGTGCATAAAGAGCAGCATTGCTGCTAGCATGTCCCACCCTCAGCCCTAAGATGGTTTTCTCCTTTCTCAATAAACAGAACATACAATAGGGTTTTACACCGAGATGTTCCATTGCCCAGGGACAGGCAGGAGACAGATGCTTTTGTCTATCTTAACTGCCAAGAGGCCTTCTTTCCTCTTATACTAGTCCTCCTTAGCACATACCCTTCACGGGTGACAGACTGGGGGACGATTAGGTCTTTCCCTTTCCATGAGGCCATATTTCAGACTATCACATGGGGAGAAACCTTGGACAATACCTAGCTTTCCTAGGCAGAGGTCCCTGCGACCTGTAATGTATGTGTCCCTGGGTACTTGAGATTAAGAGAATGGTGATGACTTTTCACAAGCATACTGCCTTCAGGCACTTGTTTTAACAAAGCACACCCTGCACAGCCCCAAATCCTTTAAACCTTGAGTCCGCACAGCACTTGTCTCTTGCAAGGACAAGGTTGGGAGTAGGGTCACAGATTAACAGCATCTCAAATATAGAACAAAATGGAGTCTCTTATGTCTACTTCTTTCTATATAGACACAGTAACAGTCTGATCTCTCTTTCTTTTCCCCACAAGATGTTAAAGATCCTGACATTTCTTAGGAGGATGGTATGTCCTGTGCTTTGCTTCTACCATCCAAGTTCTAACCAGGCCCGACCCTGTTTAGCTTGCGAGATCAGACAAGATGGGGTGCCTTCAAGGTGGTCTGACTGTAAACTACTTCTGATTTAAGAAAACAAACGTCAGAACGTTAGGAAAAATCTCTATAGAGGCATAATTAATTTATTTTTATTTTTATTTTTGGAGATGGAGTCTCTGTTGCCCAGGCCAGAGTGCAGTGGTGCAATTTTGGCTCTCTGCAACCTCTGCCTCACGGGTTCAAGAGATTCTTGTGTCTCAGCCTCCTGAGTAGCTGGGATTACAGGCATGTACCACCAGGTCCAGCTAATTTTTACATTTTTAGTAGATAGAGTGGTTCGCCATGTTGGCCAGGCTGGTCTTGAACTCCTGGCCTCGAGTGATTCTCCTGCCTCGGCCTCCCAAAGTGCTAGGATTGCCACCGTCCCTGGCTGGCATAATTAAATGATATTTAATATAGTTCAGTTTTAATGTGATTGATGAGAAGGAACACAGGAAGTTCATAATCAAAGGAATGATTAAAATTGCAACTTTCCTTCTTAATGGGTCCATGACCATCAACTGTTTAGGTTATAACTTTTTTCAGCTACTTTTGGTGCACCTCATTTTAGAAACATAATGTATATGCATACATGTGTGATGGAGCATATATAGCTAGATCTGGTTCATTATGTAGTTTTGCCTAGGCATAATAGAAAGATCTGTTTGATAGTAGTGCCGAGGAATTTGAGAAAAATGACTGTGAAGACAGCTTTTATG